TAACTTCGTCTAAAAACCCAAGTAGAAAAAGCTTTTTAAATGCTCTGCAAAATTGAATTGGAGTAGGATTTCTTGCGTTCCCACAGCAATTTCTCACCTGCCCAAAAAATTTTTCCAGGTAATCTTGGTTAAGATTGCGTGTTAGCAAAAAACTATATTCATTATTTTTAAGGTCTTGCCATAATTCTAAAACACCTCTTATGGTCATTTTCCAGCCAAAAAGAAATCGCATTTTCTTTGTTACATCTTTTCCTTGGTTGTCCATAACTTTAACATTTTCAAATAAATATAACATTGTTTTCAAAAACCCAATCTGCTTTTCAGTACCCATAAACGCGTTACAATTATTTAAATGACAGGAGTTAAGTAAATCAAATAGGTCGTTCATTTTTTGAACAAAAATTGCTGTTGATTTTGCTTCAATAGGTAAAATTCCAAAATCAATGTAGGTGTTTAGGGCAACAGCTACCGAATGGCTAAGAACCTGAGAAGCGTACTTAACTTTCATTTTTTGAAAGTTGTTTGGAAACATGTGCTTATCAGTCAACCTAGGACATAGTCGGTACTCCTTTAGTTTATCTAGACTGTACATTTTTTCCAGATATTTTTTATTTGTCTCTCCATTTTCCATCAAGAATTTGTATTTAAAAAAATTATTTCGTGTTGATTTGAGTAGGTGAGGAACATCAAATATGTAAATTAATTTTTTACCATTTACAAAAAAGAAAAACAATTTTTCGGTCAGTTTTAAACAATTTTTAACAAGTTTTTGAAAATTCGGTCCTTGGTCCGAAACTACACCTAAGACATTTAAGTCAGCATCGCTCAACCTTATGACAACTTCAAACAAGATATCTTTGATCTCATTAGGTACTGCTGCAGACTTGTAAAAGAAATATGCCATCGGCTGTTTCCAATTAGAGGCTACACCGCGCACCATCACCACTAGTGCACTAGTGGCAAGTTCTGTACTCCGTCTGTTTGGAGTTTCTTCAAAACCCACGATATTATCTTTTGAAATGTCATAAAAAAGATGAAACAATCTTTCTCTTTTTTCCCAAGAAGTCTGGCTCTTATTTTTAAAATTTGAAATATAAAATCGTTGAAACCGGGGTTTATGACGCATCTTTTAGTGAATCTCTGAAGAGTCGCTTTTGAAGGTAGTCTGCACACGCTAGAAATTTTTTTATAGGCCTTAGGGCCTAAAAAATATATACTCAAAACAAATTGCTTAAACTCCTCCGTGTACCGGGAGCCTCTTGGTGCTTTCTTTAGAATTTGTAGTTGAGTTTTTAAAAAATTGAATGATTCTTCAGAATAGTTGTCTTTTAAAAAACTTAAAACATCTTCTAAGTTTATTTTACGATCCAGCCTTCTTCTGCACCTGAGGTTGTTTGCAGTCCTCTTCAATGCATGCATTTTTTTCTCAACTGCATTTTTCTCGGAGTTCTATTCGAAAGACAATTCGAGGTTTGACTGGATGCACCTAAAACATAAAAATTACTTTGGGATTTTTTTTACATAACATAGTACAATAAATTAAAAAGTTATTTTGCAAATCAGTGCTTACTTTTTGCATCACTATAATTTGTTTGAATGCTTGCATCTACGTATACTTTGATGGTATTTTCACCTCCTTCGCCAGTCGCTTTATCTAAAATAGAAAAATAATAAATGGTTTAATGGCTACCTAAGAAGTCAGTCACATCATGTTGAAATATTTCTAGTATAATATATTCAGGTACAAATACATTTATTATAAAACCCACCAGAACTCGCGCTATGAGCATTTTGCTCACGGCAGATTTAAAAACGGCGCCACTTTGTCAAAAACGGTAACTATCATATGTTTTATTACATAATTAACAACAAACATACTACATATTATGTTTATGGTACATATTTGAGACTACCTGTTAAGCGTGAGCAAAATGCTGTGTACACGAGTGCTCGCGTAACATTTAGGGGCGCGAGTTCTGGCGAGTTTAACACAACTTGGTATGCAGATTCATTAATGGGGTTGCATTCTTTGTAAGTCTATTTTTAGCTGCATTAAGCTTATAACTGTCTTCACTAAAATGCAAACTGCAAACTTGAATTCTCGAAGAACATTCTTCCGGAGAAAGATTTGCATATTTGTGGTTGTCTACAAATCCTAATGTATTTTTCCACATTATACATCTGTAATATAAAATACAAAAATATATAAGAAAAATAACAATAATATGCTTTGATAAAACGAATTTTGTTTGTTTTTTTTTTTTCAATTAAAGTATAATACATTTAAAATTCCTACTATATCAGTATCTATTTTTAAGTCACAAACTAATTTCTTCTTTTACATGCAGTGAGTTTCGAGAAAATCCTAAATTAATACATACATACAAACATACAAGTCGAATATAAAACTTCGCCTTTTATTCGAAGTCCCATAAAAATAATTTAATCATTAACTGAGACATACTTTTTTTATTAAAGTCGACTTACCTTTCTTTGTTTTTTGGACACCGAAAAAAAGACAGACCTCCTCCTTCTTGTCTATCACAGCCATCCACACAGCAGTAATTTGCACCACTTCTCTTTCTTTTTGACATTTTAATAGTAAAAAACAAATAGCCAACTAAACACCACCCTATACAATTTTACAATATTCGGAAACTTGTCAAAGCTTACACACCGTGTATCAAGCAGCGAGCGCAGGCTGATTGCATGCTCTTTAGACTGGCGGCATCATAGAAAAACTAGGCGGCATCGGACTGGTCGATCACATGGTCGATGTGTCGATACAGAGAGTGGATTTACTATTCTTTGTTTATGTACGGTGCTGCCGTCTTTGCTTGAATCGGCGATCTTTAGACGGTTGGGGACAAGCGAAAACCCGCGCTTCTTCTTTGTTCTTTGAGTACGTGTACAAAGAGCTTTCTGGAATTCTCTCGGATGTATCTATAGCTTTGTCCCAACATCTCACAAAACCGTAATATTACGGTCATCGTCATGCGCAGTAAATAAAAACCTATCAATAAAGCCCAAATTCGAACGGTTTTTATTTACTGCGCATGACGATGACCGTAATATTACGGTTTTGTGAGATGTTGGGACAAAGCTATCGAAGACTGGGCGTCGCGGTATAGAGCAGGACCGGTTTTGCACGACAATAGTTTCAAATATATGATTTTTGGAATAATTATAGGTCCTGATTAAGAGAAAATATTTCATTAACCACGTTTTGACTTACTTATCCACAGATTGTGAAAAACGTATGAAATAACTTCTTATGAAACCAAATACGAAATGCCTTATTGTGGCATTGAACCCGCGTCACAATGTGGTCGAAACATGCAAAGTTGATAAAGTTAAATTTGTTAAAAATAAATATCTAGAATCTAGGCATAAAAATTAATATTCACGATTAAATCGCCAAATCTATTTTACTATTAATATGGACATTACATAGATCAAAATAGAAATTACGCGTTGACATATTTGACAGCTGATGCAAAAAGCAGATTTTCACATACGGATGGAAAGTAGATTCTTATCCTATGAAGACTAGAGAAAAGGAGACGAACCGGCATACTCAAAATACGGTCTTAAAAAACGCATGCTAATAGAGCTTCTATAATTAACCGGGAATTATACATAATTTTGTCAAAATAATAAAAATAAACTTGTTTACAGCTAAATAAAGCACAGAACATACTGTTGTGTTTATTTCTAAATAAGTCTTGCACGTTTTAATTGATAAATTATTTAATTTTATTTATATAAAATACAAATTAGGTATGTATGACCAAATTCGAAAAGGTTTCTTAAATGCTGAAATTTGATAAGTACAATTTTGTGGCAAATGTTTTTGAATTGTACTAAATATATAGTTTTAAGAGTAAAATAAAACACAGTTAACAGATTTTTTTTATTGTTGTAATACAAGTATAAAGGGAGATTTGGGAATGTACATGGTATTACCTCATCCTTTAATTTCAGCTTTCCCTTTTTTATTTTGCATCAGTAAAAATAGTCTCGTAATATTTGATATTATCTTCTAAAAAGTATAGAACAGCATCATCTCTAGAAAGTGCAAACGTTTAGTATCCTATAAAAAAACATTTACAATGACACAATTGGGGTCCAAAAATAAATAACAGTAGCAACTCTTTATCTAACATTAAAACTCTATAAAAAATAAATTTTCTTTTCTAGTAAGTTAAATTTAATGCATAATTATTGTTGTTTGTAAGTCAGCATCTATAACTGTAAAATTTTATATTATAGAAACTTATAATAAAATAAACTACACTTCGTAAGATACATATTGTGACTAGTTTACAATAAATATTATATTTAGACATGAATACATTATTTTACTTACATTAAAAGCTTTAAAAAGACATTGAATTGATTTCCTTTTGTGTTTTCTTTAGTTTTACATTTGATTTTTACCCTGTTTTACAATCTGAAACGACGTAAATCTTCCTTTGATGTCTTTTGTCACTCATGTTACTTGTACTCAGGTACTTTTTTCATTATTATTTTGATTCTTTTCATCAATTTTTTAAAAAATCACTTTATTTTACATTGACTTACATAGAAAATTGACTGCGCTGTCATTAGACATGCCAACTACAGTCAATTTCGCGATCTTTATAAAAAAAAGGACAGAAATTTGACCATTGTCGATTCGCCTCCTTCTCTCTAGTCTTTATATCTTATCCACACGTCATACACGTGTGATATAGGTCACTTAACGTAAGATTAAATAGTGCGATATGTTCCACTTTCCTAAGTGGGCGTAGGTCAAAATTATTTGCAACAATGGGTAGCATTCGGGGGTCTAATAACCCCCAGGAAATCAAAGGCTTCAGAAAATTTTGAAAAATATTTAAGCATTTTTATGAAGACTGAATTTTTCTAAAGGAGTACGAGATTGTATAAACCGAAATTTTTAATTTAATTAAACAAAGCAACTTACATTTAACAAGAGTCTTATTTTTTTGTTACAGCTTCAGTCCTACTTCCTTATATCCGATGATATAATGGATCGTTCAGAATTTCGTAGAGGACAACCATGCTGGTATAAAAACGACGGAGTCGGTCTTCTAGCAGTTAACGATGGAATCCTAGTCGAAAATAGCATTTACTCGATATTAAGAAGATACTTCTCATCACTACCATGCTATGTGCCCATTTTAGAGCTCTTCCATGATGTCACTTTCAAAACTGCAATGGGACAATCTTTAGATTGTCTCTGTTTAAAAGATGGAAAACCTTTATTGGATCAGTTTACCATGAAAAGATACAATTCCATAGTTAAATATAAGACTTCCTATTATAGTTTTCAATTACCAGTATCACTGGGAATGTACCTGGCTAATATGTACGATGAAGAACAACATAGACAAGCTAAAACGATTTTATTGGAGATTGGAGAATTTTTCCAAATTCAGGTATGTTATTACTGAAACTCCATACAGTTGGCAATCATTGTGTCACTAATAAATTTCCAATCCGACCTTGTTCTTTTACTTTATACTATGGAGGGTAGAAATAAGGAGGACAATCTTATATGGATCTTTATATTAAAAAGTGGCCACCAAAATGTATACAATTAAGATGGCGCTCGTGTAGCCAGGGGACAAAATCCAGCTATATAGTCATATAGATTGCTCATTCATAAGAATTATTTATTGTTTATATTATTATTTTTCAATAAAATTTGACTATTGTGTATTGTCAAAATTTATCTACGATCACAGAACACTTACTCTTCTACGACCAGTCACTTTTCACGGTGTAGTTTTTAGTTTTTTATGGTTGAGCAATATTTATTACTATATACATCATTGGTGTCATTGTGTGTTGTGTGATCTGAATTATCGACTGTCGACGTCCCCTGGGCACAGAAGCGCCATCTTAATTGTATACATTTTGAGGGACACTTTTTGTATACAGAGATTGTTCTCCTTTCCTCTACTTATACTCAGCAGGTCAATTTATATATCAAATTGATGATTTTAATTTCTGATTTTCTTAATGATATTTGAGTCGCCTAGTTCCAAAACCAAAATCCTGCTGAACATGTTTATAAGGAAGAGCGAAAGTTTACTACTACAGTCGCCAAAGGAATGGTAAGTGGGCATTAACGGAAAAATCCTACTTTAATAGTTTATTAAAAAACTAGGTTAGGTTAAGTTGAAAATGAGTGAGATGATCTCATCGCCTTCCACTGCGACGCAGATGGATTTATTATGGCTCATGACTAACTTATAGTTCACCGTACAAGCCATACCTTTTGATGAAGGCCATGGTCGAATTGAGTGAGACTTGTTTAAAGTCGGTAGGCCCCAGTCGGGTAAATCAGAAGATCTGGAACCTGGTTCTTCCCAAAGTGGAGCAGGTACATAAAATGTGCTTCGTCTTCCATGCTGCAGAATCGACAGTCCCAAGTTTGTTGCACACCTATCCTTCTCATGTGGTTACCCAGACGACAGTGTCCTGTCATCGGTCTTGTGAAAATTTGTATATTCTTTCCTACTCCATTCGATATGAGTAGAGGCGTTCATAGAAGGGTTGGTTATAAATGCCTTAGCCCTGGGGTATCTCTCCATTTTGAGACAATTCCTTTGGCAGTGCTCTTTGCAATGCCTAGCAATGGTTCTGGTCTTATGAACTCAGATTCGGTTCCTCTTTTAGTGACCGCTTCGGCTTTTTCATTGCCCGCCACACCGCCAGATAAAAGTTACTTCTTTCCGAGCACCGAGACTTAAGGGTTTTATACAGTTCCAAACCAGCTTTGAGTCAACTCGATTAAAGCTCAGGGCCTTGAGGGCTGCATAGTGTTCAAAAATATCTTTATAGTCTTGTTTGCGGGCAGAAAATTAATCAACTCTCTCGCTCCCAATTCTATAGCAATCATTTCTGTTTGGAAGATCGTGGCCAGAAAGCCTAAGCCTAGGTTTATTGATATGTCAATTCTTGGCCTCTGGCCGAAATCTCCCGCTCTACAATGCATAGTCCACCTGCGAGAGTTTTAGCCCCCCTGCTCCATATGTCTCCCTCTGGAATGAGGACGCTGTATGGCTATTCTATGTGCTGTCGGGGAACTAGCGAGTCCCAGACCATGCCGAGGATGTGGTGGTTCTTAATCTCACTCATCAGCTCCGTCTTGTCCCATCGCAGTTCTTCGTTGCATTGATTACCCACCTTCAGGAGCCTGTAGGAGAGCAGAATGTGGAGAGGGGTTAGGTCCAGCATGATCTTCATGGCTCCCGTCGGTGTGGTTGACATTGCCCTAGTGATGGCGAGGCTCTCAAGCTGCTGGAATCCGGCCAGATTTGCTCTAGCCGTTCTTTGAAGTCCCTTATCCCACCAGACGACAGAGCTGTACGTAACCATGTGATTTACCACTGTTTGCTAAATCCAGTAGATTAGTTGAGAAGTGACCCCCATGCTTTGCCGCATATCCTTCTGAGGGTCCAGAGGGATATTCTGACTTTGTTGATGATTTTATCCAATTGGGGATTCCAGGAGACTTTCTTATCTAGGTTGATCCCCAGATATTCCACCTCCTCCGCAAGAGGAATAGTTTTCCCAGCCAAGGTAGGTTGTCGAAGCTTATCGTGCTTTCTTCTCTTGATGAAGGGAAATGTAACAGTTTTACGGGGGTTAACGGACAAAACTTCTCGGATTAAGCTGTTTTTGGAGACATCTGGATTTAGGGGATTTTGCTTCGAAATTTATCCGGATTTACTGTACTTTAGAGCTTATTTTGCGACGTTAGCTTAAAAATGAAAAATAAATTGGATACAAAATCAAGTAATTAAATATAAAATTTTGTGTGGTAGCTTTAAAAATTACACAATAACTAAAGGTTTTTTTTTTGTTATATTTTTTAATAACATTTGTTTTGTAATATTTATTATACATCATCTTCCTGAAAGTCACTTGTCCCACATAGTCCCTCTCTCCCACAATAGATCTGAGAAGGTCGCGGTGGACAAGGAAAAATAACGTCCAACTCCTAATCTAATCTAGTCCCCTTCTTTTTTCCCCCTCTTATCATCATCACTATTTTCTACTGTCTCTCTGAATCTTCTTACAGTGTTTTAAGAATATATAAGATTTTCATTTTCAGCTTTTTTTACCAGTCAATTCCAATATGCTTGCGAAGTAATTCATCCACATCATTTATTTTTTTTTTTAACATTCAGTTGAACCATTGTTGAACTTTGTTTAATTCTATTTCTTCTAGATTTATATTAGAAATATGTTTACCTCTCTTGCTGAAACATTATTTCGGCTTCTCGAAATCAGATGGCGCTATTAGTTTGATTTGTTTGAAATTTGGATTTAGCGGGATTTGATGTAAGCTGGCGTATTATAACAGAGGCGTATACAATATGAATTCTTAGGCTAGCGCCACATCAGGCAGAAGTTCTGCCGCCGAAAATGAGCTGCTGATCTTTGCGTAGTAAATTCAAATGTTAGGTGTTTCAACCGATCTTCATCTCAGTGTAGCGAGTTACGAATTACTTGTAAGAGAGAGAAGATAGGATTGGATTCGTCTGCAGCAGACGTTTTGCTGTTGAAGATCGGCGACTGAACGTCTGCCAAATGTGGCGCTAGTCTTACAAATTTTAAAAAGAAGATATTAGGATTTTTTGGCTTTCGTGGGTCGGCTCCTTTCTGTAAAATACATTTTAGCACTGTTTGGTTAAAGATACTTTATTGTTAAAGGAAGTAGGTAGAAAATACATATTGTCTTTTTAATTTGTTCTACAATCATAGGTTCCAGTTCATAATCAGGCGCTCTGCTGAATCCATCCACATTGTTGTCGATGTCCGTGCCGGCTATATGTTCATAAAATTGCATGCACTCGTTTGGAATTGAGTGCATCACAGATTTTTTGTCCTCTATCTTTAGATTTTATACTTTTTTCTTCAAGCCTTAGTGGTATTAGCAAGTCTTTAAATAATGCCGGACGACCTATTTGTTTTTCTGATATCTTTTTCAGCATATGTGTTGTCTTCAAAATTTGTTTTTCAGAAAAATTGAAAATTGTTTTTTTATCTATGAGTATCTTACGTGCTTTTAAACAGCTAACTTTTTATTCTCAACATCTATTTTTCTATTTATTATCTTAATAAACGATTTACCTACCCAAAGCTTGGGCTTGCCTTCTCCTATTCAACAGCTTTTGTCATCAGAAGAATTCTTTGAGATATGCTAATATTATCATTCATAATGGGTCCTATGATTGAACGTTTATGTTATCCGTAACGTACATGTTAGGCCGAGTTTTAACAGTAATGAGGCAAGTTCGTATGATGGAAAACTTTTTCCAACACGTTACTGTTATTTTCCGCCTGTTATCTTCTAATTTAACAGTTTTCCATCATCCGAACTTGCCTCGTTACTTTTAAAATTCGGCCTAACATGTACGTTACGGATAACGTAAACGTTCAATCATAGGACCCAATGTATCACAAAAATATTCGTTTTTCTATTTTTAATACTTCGTACTCACTCTCACAGAGAACCAAATAACGAAGTATCACCAACTCTCTTCTTCTCTATTATGTCACTTGGATTTCTTCTGCAGGCAGGATACTTGCTTAACCAATTTAGTCGGTTGGCTCATTGGCTAACAAATAACGCTAGGTACCAGAACTTTTGTTATTTGAACTTATTTCGCCAACTCATTTGATACAAAGTTGCCATTTTGCATTTTTTATCCTACTTACAGCTCATGAATTGATTCTTGCATTAAAATGTTCTGTAGTATTTTTCCATTTTTTTTTGGTTTTTTGTAACTTTTCTTGCAAGTTTTAAGTAAATATTTTTAATCAAACAACTTTCTTATTATGTTTTTTCTAACTGAAAGTGCTAACTTATCAGTAATCTTTTAATGCAACCCTATTTCATATCATTTAAAAAATATTGTCTAACCCTGTTTCATATAATTTGAAAAATATTTTTTTTATAGGACGATTTCTTAGATGTTTTTGGCGACTCTAGTGTTACTGGTAAAATAGGAACTGACATAAAAGATGGAAAATGTTCTTGGTTAGCTGTAGTAGCTTTACAAAGAGCATCTCCAGCCCAGAGAAAGATCATGGAAGAGCATTATGGTCGCCCTGAAGAAGAATCGATCCAAACCATTAAACAGTTATATGGAGAATTAGCTCTTCCAGCAACTTTCTCGATTTATGAAGAAGAAAGCTTTAATATTATTAAAACTCATATTCATCAAATTTCTAAAGGACTACCCCATGACTTGTTTTTTAAAACTATGAAAAAAATTTACAAACGGGATTGTTAAAGAGTTCTCCTATTTATTTGTTATATCTTTGAAAAATAACCTGTTTGTAAACGAGTTTCGAATTTAGTATTACCAAAAGCAATTTAGTGTTTTGTGTGATTAAAATGAATATTAAACCAGTTTCCATTTTTATAATTTGTAGTCATAACTTTTTTAAATATATTTAAAGCATTTAATTGTATTTATAGAGATTTATCACATATTTATATGTAGTGAATTACTAATGTAAAACTATATTCTTTTACAGTGGTCAGTTTTGAAATATAATTTTCTTAAAGTAATCCCTTAAGAGAATAAGTATGTGCTTACTATGGCCTTTGCTATTATATAGTATTTTTTGTTTTAGTAGGTAAATACTTGATATTGTTTTTTGTTTTATATTAGTGATATAAAATGTATTTACTAAAAATGGGAAATAAAAATACTCTTTTATGGAATATGTGAACTTGCAAAAATTTGAAGAAATTATCATTATTCTATTCTTTATGAGATGTATGTTAAAAATAAGATACTTTTAGTTTCGTGTCTGACCTTTTTTAGTAAACGAAAATGTTCAACCATGCTTTTTATTTTGAACCTAGTCAACAGTTAGGTACTACTCTAGGGAGTGTGTAGATTGAAAACACGTTAGATGATGTGTAATAGTGTAAAAAAATGTAGTTTAACTAATGACTGTTTTTATGTGTAATTGAATACGAACCTACTAGGTACCAAGTGGATTGTGTGAAAAATATGGTTTTCTAGCTAGGGTAATAGAGATATTTTTATGGTTTTATTGAATTTAATTAAGAAATTGTTGCCATTTGGCCAGGAAATATGATCGACAATGGTTTGGTCCCAAAAGTGCTTGAATCACTATAGGAATTGTAAATATAATGATAGGTAAGACATTGCGATTGATTAGACCTTAAGAAATATGAAGGGACTATTGGTGTATGAGTATGCGTATAAGAATGGGTATGAGTGGGTGTTAGGTACGTATTTTTATGATAGTTGGTTAGCCGACTTCGTGCCACAAACATATGTCCTGGTTATCGCATGTTTAATCTAGATAACCGGCCAATTATCAGATCACACATGTGATTATGAATTTAATAAGGTGGTTCATATCGAATGAGATAAATTGAAGGATTATATGAGGATGATGCAAATATATGAAAATGGTATGAATGGTTATGAACGTAGAAGCTTGAATTAAATTATTTATATAAGGAGGTGCATGTTTTGTGGAAAAAGGGTGGCACAAAATTGATCGAAAACATTTGATCGAAAAACATTTTATCAAATAAAAATTGATTGAAAAAAAAATGATCGAAAAGAACAATGATCGAAATGAAAATTGATAGAAAAACAAATATACATTAAATTATAAAAAATAAAAAACTCAACTAATTTACCTAACCTGTGCGGCCTAGAGTCATCGCTGGTGGCTTCGCAAAAACAAATATACAAAAAATGAAAACAAAAAAAAACTTACCTTACTTGTGCGAGAGCAATCAGTTATATTTAAATAGCACAGGTGGGGTAAATTGGTGTTTTTTATTTTTATCATTTTTTTATAATTTTTATTTCCGAGGCAAACAGCGACGGCTCCAGATCGCACAGGTTAGGTAAGTAGTGATATTTTTTTTATAAAAAAAAAACTAAATTACCTAACCTGTGCGAGAGTAATAAGTTAAAATTAAATTGCTCCAGGCAGCAGAGGTTAGGTAAATTAGTTAAAATTTTTATTTTTAATTTTTTGCAACGTGAACCGCGACCGCTCTAGGCCACACAGCTAAAATTAATTAAATTTTTTATAATAAAAAAACAACTAACTTACCTAACTTGTGCAGGAGTAATCAGTTAAATTTAAATAGCACAGGTTAGATAAATTAGTTAATTTTTTTATTTTTAGTTACGATACGAAAATATGTCCCACGTGGTAGTTACGATACGAAAATATGTGTAAAAAATGGCGCGTAAATCCATTTTTAGATCAACTATAAAAGTGAGTAAAGCGAGTGTAAAAATTAAAATATCTGTAGAAGGCGTTAGTATGTACCTAACTATGCGAATATTTTAGATGTGTGCTTAATTGAAATGCCTATAAATAGCTTATAATTAATAAAAACAAAAAATGAAGTACCTAAAAAGGTATGAGTATGAAATGTGGTGTACCTATATAAAAGGTTTATAAACGAATGTAATATGTATATACCTATTAAAAAGGTTTTCAGACGAATGTAAAACGAAGTTCCTAAGAAGATATGAGTATAACATATGTGTACCTATTGAAAAAGTTTATAAGAATGTAAACTATGTACCTAAGAAGGTATGAGAATGTAATATGTATGTACCTACTGAAAAGGTTTTTAAACGAATGTAAAACGACAGGTATACCTATAAAAGGCATTAAAGGATATGAAAATTGAAGTACCTATTATAAGTATGTGCGGGTATCTAAAAGTAAAGCGTACGAAATGCAATTGTTTGATCTTAACGACTAGTGAGGTTATTGTAATATAATAAAGTTTCCCGCTGATGGGGTAATTACGATAAGAATGTGTTCCGGTGATGGGCAGGGCCGACTAGAGGGGGGGGGGGGGGCAGCCGGGACTAATTCCCGGGGCCCGGGCTCAAATGGGGGCCCGGCCATCGGTGGTGTTCGTTACTTTCAGAATCGACAGAAGAGGGGGGACCTTTTTTTTAGAGAAATTTAAGTAGAAGAGGATTTTTGCTATAAAATTGTCGCAGGGCCCGATCTGGAGAATTGTCTTGGGGCCCGGTCTGGCTCTCGGCGGCCCTGCTGATGGGGTAAAAGTACTGAAACACCTAATGTAAAAGTTTTTTAAATTAGTATTTAGTTTGCCTAGAGAAGGCTTTAAATCAGTGTAAATATTGAAATACCTATAGGAGGTCGTAAACGAAATGTGAAACTTAAGAGTGCCTATAGGAGGCTTTAAACGAATGTAATTAGTTTTGGCTTATATGATTAATTTTCTCTAATAGTTACAAAATATAAAAAATATATGTTTATGAACCGCTAATGGGTTAGTTACAAAATATAAAATTAAGTTGGTACCGCAATAGTTTAAATACAAAACATAAAAATGTTTGAATGCATACCTCAATGGGTTAAATAAAATAGAACCATGTTTGGGAACCACGCAGATGGGTTTGTACAAAATATAAAAATGCATGAATAATATTTGAAAAATGTGACACCAATTTTGAGTTTTAGCATTGGCCGTGGGAAATATAAGTATGTGTGATTGTTGAATTTAAAACATTTATTAAATCAACATGCACAAATTAAGAATAATTGTTGTTCGAAGGACCACTTAATGTGGGAGAAAGGTGTATTTTTCTACATTTTTAAAAACTCCTTCGATTAAATGAAGAGTATGCGACTTGATTGGTTTTCTTTTGGGTGTTTACGCAATAAAATCCCTTTTTACTCTTGAATCCCGCATTATAACTTTAATAACACTGCACTCAACTACATTTGTATACTTATTAAAGTAAAATTAACTAAAAAACTAATCACAGCCTAGGCATTGAATAATTTAAATAAATTTTAACATGGCGAAGCACGCAAAGTTCTAACAAGGTATTGTTCAGTGTGGTGGCAAGGTGGGTTTTCACGTTGGTAGGATTACCAACCTCTGCGAGCTAGTGTTCACGTGATAGCGTCTATTGGTAGTTTGTGGTTTGTACTTAACGTGACTATGAGTGACGCAACCCTTTCGAGTAATTTCTATAAATTCCTGGGGCGTTCTTGTTTTGATTAACAAAAATACGTTAAAGTTTCTTTTTAACAGGCATAATGGGTACTTTATAAGTGGTCGTTTTCTACTTTAAGGAATATTTCTATTAATGATTAAAGAAGAAAATTTTTTTAATAAGAGTTATTTGTGATGTTATTTTCTATAATTTTTGTTCTATGCATGATTTCTCCAAAATTGACCACAATGGAGAAAGGAGGGGGCACGTTTTAAATGTAAAATATCCTTAGGTCAGAATTTGACGAAAGTTTCAATGGTGTAGAACTTGACCTATATCAAATACCTCCGTTGCGCCAAAACTTTTAAGTTTAACAGTTTTTAATTTACAGGGTGTTCAAACTCACTATTTCATAATTTTAATGCATGTTTTTATGAATATTAGCACAGACATAAGATGAACTTTTTTTTAGAACTAACTACATTTCTCTCTTTGATTTCTAAATGTTTGTATATACAGGGTGAGACCATTTATGGCCTTGAAAAACAAAATGTATTCTAAACCCTTTCAACAAGAAACGAGGCATAGCTTTATCTCTAGAAGATCTGAGACATGATGACAGCAAGGTGCAGCAACTGCTTATTCAGCTCGGGACAATCTCAAGAAAGTGCACATTAATGCAGTATCAAGAGTATTAAAAACAGATGCATGTCCATCTCCTTTATTAACAGTCGCACTGGGACCCTAACTGGGTACCCGGAGAAAATGGAACAGGGGGTCTAGCGCCTGACCCCAATTTTCTTGAATTCGGAATAGGGGGGGCTAGCACCTGACCCCAAAAGTCAATTAGGAGCTTAATGTAAAAAAATGTCAAAAAATCAAGGATCTTGGTTAAAATCAATTTTAATAATAAAAACTCATTTTATTAAACCAGTGTTTAAATAGAATAACATTATTATAGTTTGTACATTTTCTAATTGTATTAATTTGTTCGTTGGCCATATGCCTAGGGCAAATATACTTTTCGCAATTAGAACATGCCTTCATATATTTTCTATCAGCCCACCTTGGGCAAATAAAACACCTTCCTTTTTTGGGATTTTTTGGCACAGCGGACCGAGTAGCTGGTCCGATTAGGTCACGACGAACAACACCTCTTGTCGTAGGCTGGTTTTGTTGACATTCAAACCCAAAAATGTTTAAAGCAGCTATGTATTTATTTTGAAGTCCCCTATATTATGAATGATTACTCATGTTAATTTGGCACAATTCCTTGCCTAAACATTTTATAAAAAGTTTTTTTCCAGATTTTTGTTTCGGATTCTCTTTTGTCCAGTTCTCGTTGGCTTTTATGGAAAGAATGTAGAAGTTGTAGGCAACTATATCAATCAAATTGAAACAGACTGCCATCGGCCATCTTCTTGTGCCTCGCCGACAACTATATGCTCTTACACATTTATCAAGCGTATCGACGCCGGCTTTTGTGGAGTTATAATATAAAATAATTTGTCCACGACCACTTAATAAAAAATCAATATTCTACCTCCTAACTAAAAGCATATAGTACCCATATATCACGGAGTGAATTATGATAATTCACGCTTTTGTAATTTTGACACATTCCGGTAGATAACTAAAGATAGGCGATACTTTTTATAACGATATTTTCTAGATCGAAAAATTGAAAAAACAACAAGTTACCTATGTTTAATAAAAACTTTCCATTCCTACACTTAACTTTTATTTAATAAAGAAACCATAATGGTCGTGGACAAAGTATAGTATTAGACTCGCAATTTATGGCCTTTATTCACTCGGGTGACTTGCGCCCCTCGCCTACGGCTCGGGACGCAAACGTCACCCTGCGTGAATAATGACTACCATAAATTGCTCGTTTAATAATATACTATTCTCGTTTATCATTCTGAATTTTAATATCATGATGTTGCGTAGAAAGAACAGTGACGACCTTATTCTTTTTTGGTACATAACTTACAAGTGTTTCACGGTCCCGAAAACCAAAGCGAATAGTGCCAGGCCTTGCAGCCTTCAAAGATTGAGTTCTTAGTTCTAGTGGAACATCTTTTCTGTTACTCATTATCGTCCCCACGACTGTAAGATTTTGTTCCAACAAAGAATTTGCTGTTGGGACTGCCGTAAACTTCCTGTCCATTGTGATGTTATTTTGCTAATTCTACAAGACATTTTACAACTTCACCACTATTGTAATCTTTGGGCTGGTTTATTACTTTTCCTGCATATGGTTCTGCAGCAAAACAGTAGTAGTTTTCTGAGTCACAAAGCACATTAGCTTCAATTCCATATTTACCAAGTTTTGTAGGAATATATAAACGAAATTTGCATCTGCCATGGAATGTTATTAGCTCCTCGTCTATTACAAATGATTCTGAAGGTACCAAAAAGTCTCGAAATTTTCCTGTGATACGCTCCCATATATCTCTTGCTGCAGCAAAGTTATCATATTCTTTTCTAATCCCCCGGGTAGTTTGATCATCGAACATTTTTGCAGTAGTTGGAAATGGTAATGTGAAAACGTAGCCTTATAAATTGGCAAATTCTCGTTACTGAATAAGTCGATCAGTGGATCTTTGTTTTGCTTATAAGCACCTGCTCTTATCAATAATCCCATGTAGCCTAATATTTCGTCTGTTTCAAAAGTTCTTGATTTTTGTATGAAAGAAGATTGTGGAGTACTTTCTTTTACAAGGGCGAGTTTCTGGTTTATATATTGTAAAATAAAATCAATGCATTGAAAAAGAGTCGGAATGCTTCAAGTGGCATTATAGGATTTATTCTCTTTTTGAGACCTGCGGCTTCGTTCATTATATTGGCAGCAAGTAAGACCTGATGCAGGAATCATATCAGAATTAGTTGGATTTATTATAGCTTTAGGTCGTGGACGACGTCTTGCTATATTATCTAAAGAAAAAAACAATAAAAACTACTATGAACTTTTTTGAAAATAGAATAGAATACCATTTTCTTCGGTATATTCCTCTGTACTACTACTTTCTTTGGCTGATTCCTGATCCATGATTTCTTCGGGAAATTCATCCTGCTCTAACTGAGCATTTGAAGCTGAAAAATACAAAAACTTATAGAATATAACCCCTTTCAAATATTTGACACACTGCCGTAATATACTTTTGCGCTTTTTTGAAACCGGCTATTTATTTTCTTGTAGTATGTTACCCACTAGATGATTCATTTTATGTTTCTTGAAGAAAATGGCCTTGATCAACCTCGGATTCTTCGTCTAAGCTTTGCAAATCTGAATCTATGATTTTCTTGAGATCCCTATGCAAACAATCTTCATCCTCATAAAGAGCTTCTTCCAATTCAGGATCAGTCAAATATCTTCCACTCATATCAAAATATAAATAAAACAGAATCCAAAAAATATCTTTATCAATAGTGCACTGCACAACAACTGTAATAATACTGGTCGCGGAAGTCGGGCACATCGGTATTATTAGGGAGGCGTAGAGCTGTGGCAAACCGTATGTATTCGTTACTCAGTAACGGGTAGTCGGTCAGATACGAAATACGAATTCGTTACTGCATTTTAAATTTCGTTACTCGCATCCGCATCGTCGCATAACGCACAATAATAATACATACCACCACCGGTTAGGTATGCGAGATGGCCCGTTGAGCGATGCGAAATGCGAGTGTGGCCTTGATGCTAATCTGTTAGACAGTACCAAAACCTAACAACCGAAGCAATCCGTACGTACGATTAGTTACCGACATCAATTCCGCATCTGCATAGACGTGTGCGAGGCCCACACGATGCGCGTTCTGTAGATTCGTATTACAGTAACGAAAGTAACGAGTAACGAATATTTTTATACGGGTAGTCAGATCCGAAGTAACGAATACATACGGGTATTGATTTTCTCGTTACTTTTACAGCTCTAGGGAGGCGTAAGCATGTCGCTCGTACTACACGTTATAAAAACGTCCGGCAAAGGTAAAATATTTTACCAATTTCAACAAACCGTATGTCAACAGGTTAAAAAAAATACGTAAACAAAAAGTCCTCAAGGATTTTGAAGAGAAAGTAAAAATGGGTACGTAATGCTAAAAAAATAAGCTAGGGTCATTGTCTGACCCTCCCGTTCCCAATGCGACTGTTAAACATAAGAAGTGTAAATGTTTTATTCATAAAATATTGAAAATCTTTCTAGTAAAATAGGCTAAACAGAATCTAAGCAAAACAGTAAAACAAATATGTAAGAGGGAAACATTTTAATAAAGCTGTCAGTTAAACCAAACTTTAAAAAAGTTTATTACAAAAGAACAACAATTATACTTAGATTATAATAAAAAAACATAAATGTCAGTATTTTATAAAAAATAAACAAATCTTACAGTTTTTTTTGCATGATACCTACATCTAAAGTTTTACCTCTATTTTTTTTTAAAATAATCATGTGACGGGTTGTTTAAACCTTTCAAGGCGAAGTTTTGCTTTCTCATCATCCGAGATTGTATTGTTTCCTGATTCTGAACCAAATCTCAATTTTCGTTTTTCCATTTTTTCTTTGGTATCTAAAGTAGACACGACGACACCTGATCCTGAAATGCCAAATCTTGCTGCCCGTTGTTTGAGAACATCTACATTTGTATTCTAAAAATAAAGAAAGTCAGTGATTTGGACAAAACCCTTGTAAAATAAACTTAATAGCTTTTAAAAGTAAAACTTTAATGCAAGAGTAAATCTAAATACTAGTTGCGATACCACACACAACAGAAAATGAAAATAAATTATCTAATAAGCAGAAGCATTTTTTTTAAATTGATATTTTTCATTTTAATTCTCAAGTCTTGATGACCCTTAGAAAAATGAAAGTAGCTCCAAAGTTAATATTAAACTCAAAAAGTAAAAAATAAAAATTAAGTAATAAGTTATAAAAAGATTATTTAATCTTTATCAAAAGTCTTTTTTTAATTTTAAAAATAACAACCTTACCACTGTGGATGATGTAATACTAGTGGCAGAATTACTTGCAAAACGCTCTGCTCGAACTGCCCTCTTGGCATCTACACTTAAGTCTGTAACTCCAAATTTCTTAGCTCTCATCTCTAACCTCTAAAAAATGTTTTAATTTTATCCTCTGAAAGTTAAATAAATTTAACAAGGATAAAAATCATGAATAATTTTAAATCCTAAGTTAATACTTTTTGTACTGTGTATAGAAGTCATTAAAATAAACAACTTTTTCAAAACAACTCAAAAATAAAAACTTACATTAAAAGGAATCCCATACGGTCCTGCAAATAATGTGTTTTCACCATTCAATGAAGTGTTGAAAGGCAAGGTAAACCATTCACTGTTCATTCTGTACAACACCAATTAAACACTTTGATGCTTATAAATTTGAAGATATAAATGAGCCATTTATTTTGAAAGTGGCCTAACTCCATTTATACTTAAATTGAGATATCTAAGGGTTTGTTTAACTGCATTAATTAAACGTACTGTTTATTCAACTAATGCAATTGTCCAAAAATTGAGGTTAACTTGTTAAATACTAATTAATTAAAATTATCTTCATCACTGCCTTCTGACATCATCGATAATGAATATCTTAATTTAAGTATAAATGGACTTAGGCCACTTTCAAAATAAACAGCTCAAATAGGCAACATATTATTCTTAAGTTAATTGTTTTCATATAAACATTCTACTGATCAGTGAACAGCCGAGTAAATTACATCATTGAACGGTAAGTGTAATTCATAATAAAAACCTAACAAAAAAGGTATAAAAATAAAAACGTAAACATTTATCTTAATTTTCGATACATAAATCCAGGCCCTGATTTAAATTTTTTGATTTTTATTTTTAACTTTTTAAAAAAGTTATTTAAAAAAAATGATTATTTTAACTTCTATACACATTTAAAAATGGATCAACTTAGGATTTATCCTGTATATCATGATTTTTAATTCACCTGATCTGCCACAAACATGACTAATAATCTCGTTACCTCTTTTGCAGATAATTCTGAAAGCTTAATTATCTTTTTGTCTTCAGTTTTATCTTCATCAGAAGTTTTTTCAGGGATTTTTGAAACTGATTTCACTATGTCTGAACCAGTACTATTATTTCTGTCCAATACAATTTTTCTAGGTGGTTCAGTTTTAGTGTCCTTATCATTTGTTTCATCTAGTTTCCTTTTGGTAGGCACTGGAGCTTCATCTAAATCATTTTCTAGTATAGATTCACTAGCCTCCAAGTGCTCATCATCTTCATCCTTCAAAGAAAATTATTTTAAATTAAAATGTCTAAAAGATCATCAATTTATTTTTGCATGCTACACTTACAGAAGTGTAATTTTTATTGTATAAATAACGAGGTGTCGAAAAAGTTCGAAATGCAAAATTTTCTGTTTTCAAAAAAGATCGAATGAACAATTTTCAATAAAGATCGCATGAACAATTTTGCGAAAGTACAAAAGTTCGAAAATGTGATTAAAGAAACTAAAAAAGGACCGAAATTAGAACAAATGATAGAGCAACTCTATAGTATATTGTTGCTGTGTTTTCAAACTTGATAGCATAAAAATCTTAACACTAAAAAATGAAACAGACATAAATTAAGATGATAAAAGTACCTACCTGAATAATTATCAGAATGGGGGGGAGGGGGGTGCTCTAATCCCACACATGAATTCAGATGGATGAATCTAAATTATCAGATGGTTGAATCAAAATGTAAAATATATTAAAGGAAATAAAAATATTTTCCTAATATTCCAATTAAAAAAATAAATAAATAAATTTACCTTACCTGTGAGGCCTGGTGCCATCACAGGTTGCTTCCTAGAAAAATTATACATGAAATGAGTACAATCAAAAAAAACTTAACTAATTTAGCTAGTGCGGCCTGGAGCCAACGCGGCTTGCTTCAATTTCAAACTTTTTTTAATTTCGAACTTTTGATATTTTGTATTTTCGAAGTTTGGTAAACCTGCTGTTGTGCATGTGCAGGCATATATTAACTCGAATAACTGAGTTAATTTTGAGGGCAAAGAAAATATTTGAAAATGAATAAGAATATTCTTTCATTTTTGAATACTTTTACTTAATTTTTTAATGAAACAGATTTTCCTTATCCTCAAAATTCAAGAATAATTAATTATGGAAGTAGGCCGACGCATGAGCAACATGCGGCAACCTAAACTGCAGGATTACCAAAATTTTTATAGTTTAAACTATTGTTTTCGAAATTTTGTCATTTGAAAATCTTCTAATTTAAACTTTTGTCATTCGAACTTATTTCACCAACTCATGAATAACCATTTATTTTAGGCTGTATTTAAAATATATTCATTATTCATATAATTCTTATAATTACTGCTTTTGAATTAATAATAATAATAATCTTTATTTTAGAAAATGCTATCATATACAAAAACTGGTGTAAAATACATACATTCCCATAAATTACAGACTGATTATTTAAAAAATAATTAATTCTATAGGGTTCTAATTTTAACAGTAATAATTGTTTAGAAAGAGGAATTATTTAAAATTAATTCTGATGCCTTGGTAGGATACCCCACTGGACCATTCACTGTTGGGTTCTAATTAACAGTGCTGTTCCTAAAGTGGCGCTAAGAAACAGTAACAAAGCTTACACAGAACACGAGGCTAATGGCCTTAGTAGTCGATGCTGATGACACCAAATTAAAAAAAAATAATTGTTTAATTTCTTTTTGAACTTGTTATTACTTATACAATTTTTAATAGGTAAGGGAAGTTTGTTAAAAAAATGTTATTGCCATATATAAAAAAAGGGACCTCTCAGTAGAGCTTAATCTATGAGATTGATAATATAGATCTAAATGTCTTGTTTACTAGCGATGATTAACCACAAAAGAATAAAAAATTTCTCTATTCTTAAATAAATACATATTCAAATATGTAAACTGCGTAAAATGTCATAATTTTATTTTCCTTAAATACTGTCTTACATGAGTCCCTGAAATGCATTTTATTAATTATCCTAATAACTCTTTTTGGTATAATATTTTTTCAGCAGTGGAATTTGAGCCCTAAATAATGATTCCATATTTAAATATGTTTTTAGGAACAGATTTAAAACTAGCAAATATTTACTAGTTATTCTTATTCCATATGATATTTTACCTAATTTAGAAGCTGTTTCTTCTATGTTTTGACCAATGTAGGAATTCACTAATGTAAAGACCTAAAAACTTTGCATCTAAACTTAGTTCAACAGATGCACCATCTAACTTTTTATTACCTAATATATTATTGAAAAACAGTACGGCTTAAAATAAGTTTGTTTTTTGTGAACCAATTTTTTACTTTACAGAATATATCACTACAGTTGATAAGTAGCTCAGAGAAGTCTCCCCACCTGCCAAAATATTAGTATCATCAGCATAAACGATTATATATTGGGTTGGGATACATTTAAATTATATTGACATAGGTCATTCATAAATATGATAAACAGTAATAGACTGGTCCATTGCTGTAGTCCCTTGTAGGTTACCAATAGATGTTAGAGTACAATATCTGATTTAACATGTTGAAATTCTTTACTCATATGGACCCTTTCTTGTCTTATCTTTTAAGTAAGACTGAAACCACTTCAGCAGCATATCTTTCTAGTTTTGTCAACAGAAAGTTATGGTCTAGACAATCATACGCCTTTGATAAATCAAGAAACATTACCAAAGCTAGATATTTTTGTTCCATTGTAATTGGTCAAAAGAATTTGAAGAAAAACTATCAAAATAACAAACTTACATTTAACAAATCTTCTTCCAACTCATCTACCGATTCAGAACTGACATTTTCATTCGACTTTAAAGTCGATTGTAGTCTTTCAAGAAGTTCAGTTTTATTTCCAGTAGTGCTTAAGCCTCTTAATTTCAATTCTTTCTTCAAGTCTGGCACCTAAACAAAATACACATAACCTTAAATTTATAATGTTATAATGAAGTGCAATTTAGATTAGTTGATTTATAAATTATTGTAAAAAGAAAACTAAAATACCTAAACAAAGTTACAATTTACCTTTAATTTTGAAAAATCCGTAGAAATATCTGCCGACGAATCGTCAGCCATTTTTAACGTTTATTTATTGACATTTGACATTCTCATTCTACGTTCAGTTATTGCGTTCGGTTTGCCACGTTCCTTTAACTCCTTTAACACTTTTAACTCCAAACGACTCTTTTAGCGTTCGGTTTAGTCCGATTAGTGACAGTTTAACACGCTTAAATGTCATTTAAAAGCACCCTAAAATTTGTCCCGCTCCAGCCCCTGGCTGACCGAACTCGCCTTTTTTGATTTCTATTTCCATTCTAGGATAATATACTATTAAACGGGATAGCTAAGGTAGTTTTGTAAAGCGTACCGTTGCCAAATGTCGAATTTCTGACGTCACCGTAAAACCTGTTTCGTTTAAATGCTTGATTGCTCTATGTAGTGGAACAGTTTTTCTATTGATTTTAATTAAATACAAAGGTTGTTGGCCTCCTAAAATTCTTTTTGATATATTAGATAAAGCACGATAAATTTAAAGCAAAAGCCAGGGGTGTTTTCAATTTATTTCAAATTTTATCACTCTTATAAAACGATAGGAAAATCGTTAAAGCAGAGATCGATATACAAAAATAGAGGTTAAACCATTGTATTTGTTAATACTTACCACTGATCTGTGATCAGTGATACTTATGCCGCGTTTGAGAATCCACATCGGATGCATTTTTTACATCTCGAGCGTTTTTTTATCCACATCGGACACATCTGTCCCATTACATTTACGTATACTGAACCACGTGATCAAAGATTTTTTACATCTCAGATGCATCCGATGTGGATTCTCAAACGCAGCATTACTATTTGAAAATATTTACAAAATTCAATAAAAAATAATTCTTATATACGGTGTCCCAATAAAGTTATGGTTTAGGATTATGCATAGTGTTTTTTAATTTTTTTAATTTTACCAATTTGATGCTTGATTATGGATTTCCAAGTTATGCATCTTTTATAATGTAGATATTACCTATCCACGGGCGTAACAACTGTGATAGGGTTTTATTCGTTTCTTGATATAAATCTGTGGCTTCGATCTAAAATGGCCAAAGTGAAGATTTTGTAAATATGCAAAATTTTATAAATAAGAGATGTGCATGAGAACATCTACATTGGACACATCTGTCCTATTACATTTACGTATAATGAATCACAAAATTTCAGATGCATTTGATGTGGATATTCAAACGCAGCAAGCGGAATGCGGTTGCGCGTATATTAATTTATATAGGAATATATGCAGACAACGCACTGGCATCCACGCGATTACGGCGCCGTAAAAACCTTTGCCACTGTCCGTATATAGTAGGTATATTTACTCAAAATATATACAAATTGCTTAAAGTACATTAATAATTGTCTAAAATTGAACAAATAAAATGCATGGCGTATGCATTATCATTTTAAAATACTATGAAATACTATTCTAAATATTTAAAGTTAAAAATATACAGAGCATAAAAGACTATTTTTTATTCATGTCGTCCATCCGCTTCCATCTAGTATTTTTATAATTATATTACCCCTTCCATACGGTACCGCACTGTTTGTTTGTACCATTTGTTGTACCTTTCCTCTCTCCCCGTACAGATAATCATTAAACATTAACCCACTCCGTCTATGAGTAAAAGGCCTAACAATCTGTGTAGCCATTTTGTAGCTAACTTCAAATTGATGAAAAAATTGAGGTTATGGTCAAAATTGTGGAATCTTGCTAAATATTATTTTTATATAAATCCTATAATGTCCAATAAAAATAATCCTGCTCCTGGAGACGGTTTGAGATCTGTGAGAACTACTACGCTGTTTAGAGCAGTTAACTTTGAATTATATACGAAACCAGTAAGTATGTTTTATAAATTTATGGTTCAATCCATAGAAGTCCAATCCATAGTCTTAATATTTTAGTAATTAATTATTAATTGTAACAAGTTTGAATTAAATATTTGTAGAGTTACCGATTTATTAGTTTTCGATTCATTATAAAAATTATCTTTTGAGCTTTTGACAAACTAATCGGATGTAAACATCTCTTGATTAATAGAAAATGATTATAATTTTACATGAAAAAGGATTTGTTTAAACAGTTACATATTCAGTTAAAATGCAAAACCTAGTAGTATATCATTTCATAAAAGTAATTTCTGAGAAATATTTAATTTTTAGAATATCTTCATAATGGGACTAGGTTTGGTGGCTATTACAGGATGTGCAGGATACATCGCCTATATGAGAAGTAAATATGAAGGACTAGGATTTTATGGAGCAATTAAAGAAGATGGTACTGAGCAATTTGAAAAGAAAAAATCAAAATGGGAGTAATCACAAAAATAATGTGTAAATATGTAAATAAGTAGTCATTTATTTATTAAAAATATGTGAAATTTTTAAAATGCCATAACTCTCTAATCTATAAAATTACAAATTCCTGCAGCAGAAGCGTAAATGCCAGGGGTGGCTTGTAACCTAGTCTGTGGGAGGGAGACTACTAAATGCTATTTAGGTAATTGTAACCTAAATAGTTTTGTTCTACCACTTTTTCTTTAAAATTGTTGATGCTGTGTCCAACTAGTTTTGCCACATTTATCTTCTAATTTATTAACACTTTCACTGCTCAGCTCTCTAAGCCTGCGAATGTGTTGCCCACCATAATTTTTATTTTTAAAACTACAGACGTAGTTTACCTTACTTTACTTTTAGGAGGGAAATAGGTTTACTTTTATAGAATTTGGTAAACTGATAAAAAAAAAAAACAAATCGCCTGAGACGCATTGACTGCACTCAGCTGTAAAAATACCTTTTTTGCAAAATTAGAATTTTATCCAATATATCTTGAATGTGGTGGGCCACCTTATGGGCACATGAATTTGACTCGGCCAAACACGGGAGCCGTGTTGTGGACAGTAAAAGTGCTAAAACATTTGTCTAATCCTTTAAAACATATCCACTTGTTTTTATTACACACTTGCCCTGACAATCATCTTGTATATGAACCTTTTGAACTTTTGTCTACCTGAGCAAGTTTTAAATTGTAGTAGGCCTTCCCAAAGATTTAATATGGCATTTTCAGCCAGCAAAAGTATCGAAAACAAAAATTAGTTTTTAAAATATTTTGTATGGCTGCAGGCAGGGCGTTTATTTATATACTCTAGTGTCGGAAAATCCCCTCTAATTTGATTACACTATACATAAAAATTACTGTGTTAGGCAATTATATGTACACAAGTGGTTTGATGGTAGTATAACAAACACTGCTTTAAATAAAACAATTTTTTATAAAGAAAATATATTTGATTTGAAATGATTTTATACTTTCATTTATTTATAGTATTGTAAGATTTACGTCCATTTTGTAAAACTAATTTATCAGAAAAATTATTTAATTTGTAAATTATCCAAGGTTACACGAAATTATCTGGACATTGGCAACACTTCTAAGATAATAAAGATTCACTGTCTACACTCTACATATCGAGATAAAATGAATTAGAGACGACATAAACTCTATTTTGTGATATGACAGATGGACGCACTTCGAGTGATTGAAAAGTTAAATCAAAAAGCCAATAATTTTATTTTTAAAGATTGACGGAATCAAAATGTTTTTATGTCATTTAAATGATGCTAAAAAAAAGGGATTTATTCCCACCAAAACTAACTAGCTCGAGTTCAACATACTGTCTACACAGGAGCAAGGTGGACATTTTCATAGCTCTCTTGCATCTAAAAATTCTGTTTCTGAGACTTAATAACGCGAGCTTCGTCGCCTGATCTGACCGCTCGAATTGGTAAATTCAGAGCACTACGACTTTAAGACCTGTCAGCCAGCAACATCAGCTAATGGAAAATATATTTAATGCTACGGACGGACTGCCAGATTATGATTGGAACAAGTCAAACAAAAGGAGCCATATGAAAGTTATAAATAGATGTGGAATATAATAGGCTTTATTATTTAAAATAGTATGGGTAGTTAACAATACATTTTATATTTATATAAATTGGTTTCCCCTTGCATTGGGAGACTGTAGCCCTACAGCCCTTGTAGACTAGCCGCCTCTGGTAAATTTTTTAAACTGGCTTTATTTGCTTAGTTTTTATCAATTATTTAAACTACGATTTAAATATTCAGGTGTTATCTGTTATCTGCCAAATTGATTTTCATGACTTCATTTGAAATGTTGGGAGTATGGAAGCTTTTGATTTTTCCACCCTAGATAAGTTGAAAACGGTACACCCTGTGATAGTTTTGGTGTAACTGTCTTTATTTGAATTTTACATGGAATTAAATTATATTTTAATAATTAAAATAATTTTTATTATTTTAGACACCTTGTATTCTAAATTTTCGTTATACAGGGTGTTTTCGAACTTGGCGTCCAAATTTGTAGGGGTGGTAGTTCGCATAATTTGAGAGCGATTGGCAGATTTAATTTTTCTAAAAAAATTATAATAAACAAAATAGAGCCATTATAAAAAAAATCAAAGAGCGGGTCCTACCCTAAGCGCGTAGCGCAATAGTCGCCTCATCGGGATTTACAACCGTGGCGCGAATCGCTGTGCAGGATCGTACCTGTTTAAAATTTTTAATTATTTTTATTTTATATATTTTGGAAAAATGAAATCTGCGAATTGGTCTCAAATTATGCGAACTACCAACCCTACAAATTTGGACGCCAAGTTCGGAAACACCCTGTATTTTCATGTGTGATACCTAACATGTGTAAACAATTGATTATCTTAATAAATATACATATAATCCTAAAGTGTTTTTTAGTTAATATTCAATTAATCCCTATTTAAGAATGACCCCCATATCGCAGGTTTTATTGCATGAGTTCAAGTTTAGAACGTGAGGCGTTGGTGTGTGGCCTGAGCCAAGCAGGGACACACCTCAGTTTTTCGTACTTCATAGGGCACTGTTCCTATCATGGAGGAAGGGTGTTCCTATTCCTAATGAGGTCATTAGCCACCTGTTTAACCTAAAAAAATCTATATTAATGCATGCCAAATTATAAATAGGTTCCTGTCCCAAAAAGTTTTAATCAAATGAGAAAAAGTTGACCTTACATTTAAACATTTTTCGTCATAAAAATATTTGCATAAGCATCAAATTTGTAAAATAAAAAAATCCAATTCACCTTATACAATTATTATTGAATTGTTGCTTGTTAATGTGAAATATGAAAGATAAAAAATTGCGATGATTTTAAACTTGAGCATATTTTTATTGCTGTACGTACAACTTCCAAATATGTGAATAAGGATGATAAAATAAAAAAAATCTGTTTATTCTTTTCTTTTAAATATTTTTCACATTTTGATTACTCGTATCTTCCGAATCAATTAAGATACCTTGATGCGGTTTTCATTAAAGGCTTCGCTTAGAAGAAAACATAATGGCGCTTTTTCAAAGTTCATATTCATTAAAAACTTACTAATTTGTAATTGTGTGTTTTAATAAATATTATTGTTATATGTTGTTTCACTTCTAAAAAGATACCTACATAACCTCATTTTAAATAAAAAAATAAGGTGCAGAGTTAATTTATTAGTTCCAGGAAGAAACCAAAAAATGTTTAACACATTTCATACAATGAATGGCATACAAAAGTAATTTATTTTAATCTAATGATAAAATTTTAAAATTGGCACATCTAGATTTTCACCGGAACTCATTTATTTAAGTTACACAATATTTTGATTAATTTATTTGCCTAGAATACATTAAAATGTTATATGTACATGTTTTAATTTTTTTCTAAGTGTACATCGTTAATTTGCAATTTTAGAGTTTACTTTTCTCCGTGTAGAAATAAGCGACAAAAACGTCAACTGTCATTGAAAATCTGACCACCCCGACATCAAAGAAGCCGACGCAATCTGTCGCTACTGTATTGTTCTTTATACTGGGATAGGACCATATAGTGTGATATGTGTCACTTTCCTAAGTGGTCGTAGGAAAAACGTATTACCCTACTTAAGTCTATAGTGAAAACTGCATCGGGATATCTTAATTGGTTCAAAATAGATACTATTAAAATGTGGAGAAATATAGTGACACACCAGGTATATTTATAGTGCTCTAATGCGAGGTTCTGCGATGACGTACCATATCGACATTTGGCAATAACGCACTTTAACAAACAGATTCGAAAAATTAGTCTGTCCTGTTTAATAGTGTTTAATCCTTGGGTTTATTGTTGTGCTATAAAAAGTAAAGATCTCAAATTGAGAGAAGAATAAGTTGTGTTATCATTCTCTAAAAGCCTGCAATAGACAGAGAAATGAAAATATTGATACTGACATTACTTGTCAAAACAAAATCGTAAATCGATTTTTTATCGTAGTTACACTTACGTGTTATGCTTCTTTCCATCTCGTTCTAATTTAGTAAAAGCAAGTCTATGGACCATGATTCAAGTAGTGACGCTACTCTATAGAGAAAGATGGCATTTGCAATTACTTTTAGGTGAAAGAAAGACGGATATAACTGCAGTTGTCGTGTTTTTTATGTTTTCTGTTTCTCTCACAACATGATGCCATTATTGCCATTAGCAGAAGCAAAAGATTATTGACAGTTATGTGTTATGTGTTTTGTGTGTTTTCGGTATTATCTAAGAATTAATTTTGCAAAATGATAAATAAAGAATCAGATATAATGATTGATAAAATATGCCGCTGTTGTATGTGTGAAAATGAAGACATGCAAAATATGTTTGAGAAAAACAATGAGGAGGGTGCCCATGATTCCAATACCCTTCTCTCGGAAATGCTTGTGCTTGTGGCTTCAATAGAGGTAGGTTTTATAGTTTTATATTGAGATGTATTATTAAAGTTGCTTTTTAGGTTGTTTCCGGCGATGGTTTGCCAAGTAATTTATGTAAAGGTTGTAATGAAAAGCTAAAAAGTGCCTATGAGTTCAGAAAGTTGTGTCAAAAATCTGATACAACTTTAAGGGACCTTACTCAAGATAATAAAAGTAACGTTCGCCAGGAAGAAGACATAGTTGTCCACCCTGATGTTCATGATGATGTTTTTGATGAGGATAATGTGCCTCTATTAGAAAGGGGTGTGAAAAGGAAAAGGGGTAGGCCCAGAAAGAAGGAAAACACCAATTTATCCTGCAACTTTTGTCAGAAGATACTTCAAACCCAAAAAGGTTTAAGAGTACATTTGAGGTAAGCTTTACATAGTGAAATCAATAAGATTAATTATCATTTAAGTACTTTTTCAAATACATTGATACTAGTTTTATTGGTAATTTGTAAATCGATGGCCTAAGATCTAAGAAATACCTATTTTTACTCATAAATTGTTAACATCAGACTCCTTTGATATATTGTGGCAGACCTTATGTAGATTTTTAATTGGAATATGTAGGTAGTTTTAACTCTTGATAACATAATTAATTTTTCTGTCTCTTAGATCCCATACTGGAGAAAAATTAAAATACTGTTTGTTCTGTGATGCAAAATACACGAGAACCAATCATTTAATCCGCCATTTAGGTACACATGATAAGCCTGGCTTAAAGCACCCTTGTGAGAATTGTGACAAGACATTTGATGCTGCAGCTGAATTGTTTCGTCACTCAAAAGTCCATGAAGAAGTTTTAGATGAAACTGCAAAAGAGCAACATATTAAAACTGAAGAAGAAGACATCAAACCTGAAATTGATGAACCTGCGCTTATAGGTCACCAAGCAGTTGGAACACTAGAGGAGGAAAATGCAGCTGGAAACAGGTTATTATTTGTTTTTTTAAATAAGTCAGATTGCACAATTAGAAAGTTTTATACAAATTGTAGTTTTTAACTTTTATTATTTGGGGTAAATAAATTTTATCAAATGGTGTATTAATATTGTAGTTTTATTTTAAAAAATTACATCAATATTTTAATTAATCATAGTGATCAAGATGATAATGTGTTCAATGATTTCCCTGTGAGTGATGGAGGCCGTGATAGTGATGATGAGTTTGAAATTGAACTGGATGGCAATAAGAAGAGAAGCCCCAAGTCTAAGAAAAAGGATGATAAGGCTTTGTATGAATGCAAGGAATGCACCAAGGTTATGACAACATATATTGGACTTAAAATTCATATGAGAAAACATACTGGATCTGATTTGTCTACTTGCCATGTAAGTCAAATTTTCATTAAAAGATAAAATATTGCTTTCGGGGAATAAGGTTTTATAAATATTTTTAATTTTCTATTTTACATTAATATATTTGTTAATGCCCATTATTAAAACAAGACTGGTTAGATTAAAATTAAAATATAAAAAAAAATTCATTATTCTTAATTTTGAACTTGAATTAATATGATGGCAATAAGAAAGACTACCATTTGGTTGCATGCATTTATTTTTAGCTAGTTCCATTATTGCACTAGAAACATTTTTTTAATGTACTGTATATTTTTGAATAAATAATAAGGATGAATGTCTTATAGTTTATGGTGAATATATAGGAGAACTGCAATAAAATTTGTTCAATTTAACATTTTCTAAAACAATAGAGACATTTAACTTGTTTAATTTAAAATCAATATTTTAATTTATTTTACTACATTATAAATTTAACTATAAACTCCCACAGATCCAATTAAATTTTTTATAAAAATATTTACTTTAAACTAGTGTTTTAGTAACGTATTTTTGTAAAACGAAAAATAAAGTTATTATAGGGTAAGGCCAATAATAATTTAACTGCTTTTTTTACAAAACTTCAAATTAAGACCAACAGGGTAATGTGTTTTGTAATTTCCTTTTTTTTTTGTTTTTTTTTTTAATTGAAACTAATATAGGCCAGAAAATTTATAACAATTTGTTTCTTTACATTCTTAAAATTAATTTATTTATTTGATGTTGAACAAGGTGAAGTTATGTTCTTAATTACTTAATCTTAGTTTTACATTTATATCATGAAAGATGAAACAAGGAAAATGGTAGCTGTTACAAAAATTACCAGTATATAATTTGGGATCCTAATCTACTGTGCAGAATCCTGTTGTCAATGACTGGTTTCCGATCATTGTTGTAACATACCTATTGTTATATAGATTGCTTAAAACTGATAGTTTTGTAAGCAGCCATATTGCCTCGCAAGTGCTCATTAAACATAATTGGTTTTGCAAAAATGTGTTTTAAAACCAATTTTCAGCTTTTGAATATAGTAAAAAAATTATTTTCTTCAAGGCATAAGTTATGTTTATTTTGAGAAACGATCTGTATCATTGACCCTGTCAAATCACCAGGCCTACAGGATTGCCATATTATCATAACCTGTCATTACCCACATGTAACCATTTTGTTTGGAATCATCGAGATTCACAATTCAAATTAATTTTTGCGCGCCTGTCATTTGTCACCTATAAGTAGGATGTTTGTTTATTTACTTGTTTGTTTTGGGCGGATTTTGTATTTGTGATTTTTTAACTATTTTTAGATAATATTCTTATTATAATAGTGTTTTTGAGTTTCATTTAGTGTTAATTTAAGTTTAGTTTTCGTGCTTTTGTCATAAATATAATATTTATCATGTGTATGACTTAAATTGTTGGAACTATTTACCAATTGGTTGCCACAAGAACATCTAGAAATATGTATTTACTAAACCCAGGACATGTTTTATTATGTGGTTTAAAGGACATTTCAGGTACCAAACGTTTATTATTGATGAACTTATTTAAAAATCTTTCTATCCTTATTCTTATATTATGCAGTGAATTGTGTAGTACTGTCTATACATGTAAATGGTAATAAAACCGTCACAAATCAAATTACAGTTTGATTCTAAACAAAGTTTTGCAAAATTTCAATATTGTGAATTTATAGATATTCATTTATGGTAAGAAACAAAATTTTACGACTTGCACTTTAAAAATAATGAATACTTCAGTTTTGATTTTGACATTAACACCATATAGATTGCAATTTGCTGGAGGCTTTTTCGCAGATTTCATTTTTAATACAAACACTATCACATACTATGAGAAATAAACAAATTTAAAGCTAAAAAGTAAGAAAAAACAATGAACACGAACGCCAATGTTGCCAAATGATGAACTGATTTTAAAACAAAATTATTAAATGAACTGAAATTAAAAAAAAAATCAATATAATAAATCGATTTTATAAAAAAATCCTTAAATATAGATTACGATTACATATTACTAGACACAAATTTTGATTCTTAAATAAAATCTTATCCACTTCTTCAAGAGCTAAAATCCGACGACGTTTCGAAATTTTGTTACGTCTGGCAACACTGAACGGTATCCTACTTATAGGGACCTTCTACAAAATTCCTCCAGAGGGCGTATCACTTAGTTTGAATCGCGAATAGAATGAAGTAGAGACGACATAAACAAAATCATTCCTTCATGACCAAACATGTCAATTAAATAATAATTGTCACTGTAAAAATACACTTCCCCAATAAATTAACGCACCATTAAAAAATAACAATAAGTTTAAAGTAAATATTTGTCAAAACCACTTTTCTGATTTGGACGATTTTTTTTTAAAAGAAAGGTTGTCTCTTCCACAACGTGCGTTAATTTACTGGGGAAGTGTACTATAAAAAGATCAAATAACATTAAATACTTGGGAGTACTCATTGACGAAAATCTCACATGGAAAGATCATATACAATATGTCCCGGAAAGGTTAGAAAATTAATTTTTAAATTCTATGAATTATGCAACATTCTTTCTCCAAAAATTTTAAAAGCTATCTCTGTCTTGTAGAATCAATCTTAAACTATGGGTTAGTTGTTTGGGGTAATGCTGGTAGTACACTTGTCTCTAAATTATAAATTGCACAGAAATACATAATTAAAATTAAGTCTTTTTAAAAACAGAAGATATTCAACCGAATTGGTTTATAAAGATAGTAATTTACTAACTCCTTATCAACTTTATTTGAAATCTATAATCAGATTTATGTTAAAAACAAACCATTTTAAACAAGGATTGTCTCATAGCATTAATACTAGACTGGCTGCTAAAAAATATTTATGGCTTCAAAATCCTAAACATACTGCATGTCAGAACCATGTCTATTGTGTTGGTCCTAAGGTATATAATTGTTTACCACAGGAAGTCATATCATAAAATCAAAAATAGGTCTTTTACTTTCGTTCATAGTAAATCTGCTACCCTAAACTTTTATGTGTAAATATGATACAACATCATTGAAATTAAATAAACAAATTCAATAAAATAACAGTAATTCACAATTTAAAAACCCTCATTTATTAATATGAAACTCAATTTTTATTTTGAGATTACTCTTGAGGCCCCTAAAAAAGGGGGTTAATAATTATCTATACAACCAATATCTCCAAATACATTATCTATACAACCAATATCTCAAAATAATCGAATTATGAAAAAAATATTTCACTCCCACCTACTTTTGGTGGGGAGGGGGGCAAATTCACCCTCTAACTCTCCTACATTTAGTGAACTGACTTATTCTTTGGGGGGTGAAATTTTTTGTCTTAACGTCAAATCCGTCGTACCTGAAGTTAATTTTCCTAAGCCTAGGGATTTTATATATCGACTTCCCCTGGGGTGGGGGGAAGTTTGGCGGTTTAAAATCGTTTCTGGATGGGACTTCGGCCCCGTTTTTATTTTTTTTTTCTATCTTTTACCATTTAGGCGTGAAAGAGGAAGAGATGGGAAGTTGGAGGAGTAGGGGGGAAGTTTTTTTGCGAAACTATCCATGTCAGTTCGAAATTAAAGGGTGCTCATGTTTGCTATAGTCTAATTTTATTAGTCAATCATAATGCATAATAATTATTGTGGATCAATGGATTTCCTGTATTGAAGGTTGAAAAAAAATACTATATCCAATTTTTTGTTTATTAAAGAAAATGGTACTGAACTATTTTGTATTTGCCTATTTATATATAGATTATGCATCTAAGATTAAAAGAGAAGTTCAATATATGTTTAATATAATTATCATTACTCAATTCATACAATAACACTACCTCGAAAATGTAGGAATGAACATAGCGTAAATATAAAATATTTAAACAAATACTGGATGTCAGATAGGAATTATGATATATCTTGGTAAAAATTAAAAACTTAATAATGTTTTGTTATCAAACATAATTTTTCATTCATTTATCTGAATTAATTTTCTCTTTTGAGAGATATGAATGACTATTGTTTGGAAGTTAAGAAAAAAAAAACGGTTGATTTTTGAATAAAACTGTTTTGTCATTTTGTCCTTTTTATCCCTATAATAACTTGTTAAAATTATGCCGGTGTTATTTCTGTCTAATAATTTTCTTACTGATAAAAAAAAGTACCAATGGGAATATTTGTTTTATTATTTATTAAAATATAAAGCTTCCATTTTATTTAAGTAATGTTTTTAGTTATTAGAAGATAAATGAAATAGTGTTTTTTATATACAATTCTACATTATCTCATATTTTTTAGTTGTGTAACAAATCATTTACTAAGAATAGTCATCTTGTAAGACATTTGAAGACTCATGGAATAGTCGATGAAGAGAAAATGAAAGCTTTAAAGCAATTATCTGAAACTAAAGGGAAAAAGGTAATTATCATACCATTCATTTTCTTATACATTAATTTAGTAAAAAGGGGAGTTTTGAGTTTTTTGAAACTTTAGCAGTACATGGGATAAGCGTTTAGTAACAATAAGAATACAATCTTTTCTATTTTTATTTAGGTTATGGAATGTGATTACTGTGATCGTAAATTCAAGTACCGGAAAAGTTTTCTACATCACATGCATGCTGAACATGGCATGTCTGACTTTGATAGCGATTTTGAAAAAGGTGAAGGTGGTGATAAAACCAAAAAAGATGACCAAGTTGAAGGTGAAGGTAAGAAAAAATGGTTTAATTTTAAATCCAACAAGAAATCTTGGAATATGTATTTATTATTCTCTAGGAACTGAAGGGGATGGTGCTGAGAATAATGATACATCTGGAATTGGTCTTGGTGACGACCCCGTCAAAGATGAAGAAGACGAAGTTGGAGTCCCAGATGCTGAAAATCTTTTCGTGAAGAAAGCCCGTAGCAAAAACCAAGTGTGTCATGTTTGCGGTGCCTCGTTTTCAAGAGTGAATCATCTGACCAGACATATGACCCTACATCGAGCACTTCTTGTTCATCAATGTGACAGGTAATGTTTTGAAAAGAAATTCATGAAAAAATATTTAAAATAGGCTCGACAATTGCCGTTTTATATTTTATAGTTGATATAGAATGTTCTTCTTTGTTTAATTAGAAATTAGACTATAAAGATCTGCCCACTATTTTATTAATCATATGGAATTCTATAGTTTCACTTCTACACCTCTGTCTGGTGCAAAATTTTGTTGTTTGTGCATGTTCGTGGTCGACGCTTTTGTAAGAAAAGGTGGATGCATTAGATATGTTTTTATAAACGAGGAGATATATGCAGAAATAGGACTATGATCAGTAAAACAGTGAGCTGATCTGTATGAAAATCTAGCTAAATCTACCACTGCCAGGTCACCTCTTGTGACCATGCTCCGCTTGGCAAATATTAACACTTGTATTGATGTAGATTGGACATTACCATTTAATATGTTCTGAAAACTTGTATTTAATTATTACATTACTCTTGATTAATTATTACTTTACTGAATAAGTTGTAATTTTAGTTGTAATTATCTACTGTTTATTATTAATATTATTATTTATGTATTATGATATTTTTATCCATGTAATAAGGCCGTTGGCCTGTATGGATACAAATAAATAAATAAATGGAACAAATAATACATGCCAATGGCAATCTATGATTTTTAAAATAGAAACATTTTTAGCAATTTGTATTTGCTTGCTGTATTCGTGCTATATTCATGGTGTATCCTTTTTTCCACAAGTAATATATGTCGGATGATTTTTAATCTAAAAAAGTTGATACCGGATTTCAAATATGTGAAAACTCGTATTCTCAAAAGGCAAAAAAACAATAATTAATTGATTTGTAGGTGCGAGAAAGCTTTTGCTACAGACGAACATCTCAAGATTCATGTAGAGGAAGAGCATATTAATAAACCTTATGTGTGTACAGTCTGTAACAAACCATTTAGCAGAGGTGAACACCTAATTAGACATTTGAAAGTGCATCAAACTAATTCTGATAAGGATGCTAACTTGAAATGTTCAATATGTGATACTACATTTTCAAGGTAAGTAAAAAATATGGGTACATGGGATCTAGTCACTCAGTTAAATAAGATTCAAAAAGCTGTAAACAAATCCCTAGTACTCCATACCTCTCCAGTTTTGATAATAGAATTGAATGATCCACACAGTCAAAAGCAGAGCTTAGATCTGCAAATACACCATTAGAGATAATACTGCATCTATTGTAGATCGCCCCCTTCTAAAACAATACTGGAAAGGCGTGTGTTGGAAGAATTTAAATATATTAGATTATTATACATAATTTTTTCCAAGATTTTGGAGGATAGTATTTTGTACAGCAATTTGTCTGAAGTTGCAAGGCTGAGAAGGGTCTCCCTTTTTAAATAGAGGACAGACCTTATCAATTTTCATGCTATCAGGAAATATTCCTTCAGTTAGACAAGCATTTATAATTATAGTTAAAGGTTTAGACAAAAAGAAATACATTTTTTCATTATAAATAAATTAAATCCATCAATATCCTCTGTTCTTTTATTTTTTAAATCTTTTACAATTGATGCTATATCGGTTTGGGTAACTGGCTGAAAAAACAGAATTTTTTAATTGTGGTATATTTATAAAGGAAGCCGCAGGTATATCTGGTTTCTCTAGATTCTGAATTATGTTTTCTGCATTATTAATAAAAAAATTATTAAGATCTTCAGGAGTTAAATTTTCTGGTTTTGTATTTGTTTTATTTTGACCAATTTCTTTGTTAATAATATTCCACAAAGTCTTTGCCTTATTATCAGAATTTAATATATAATTTTTGTAAAAATCATGTTTCGCTGCTCCCAAAATTTTTAAATATGTTAATTTATAATCTTTACATAATTGAATATTTTGAGTACTAGGATGCTGTTTTTGCCATTCATGCAAAAACAGCAGTCTATATTTTGCCTCAGTAATTGTGGAAGAAACCCAATAAGAGCCCTGCCTTTTATTCTGCATTTGAGGTTTGGATTTAAAACATATATTGTAATATGAACCGAAGATTGTAATAAAAGCATTATATTTATCTTTCGCCAAATATGCATCATAAATAGTTCAATATTGTTGTGTGAATAATAATTTCTAATACAAGTTGTTTTTTATTTCAGAGGTTTCTTGAGTTTCTACTAACTGTCCCCTATGATCCGAGACACCCATTTCAATTACAGATACAGTTATAATGTCAAAATTTATAAAAAAATTATCTAAACATTTATTGTATCTAGTATTTTGGTGAACTGCTTGATGCAGATTGTAGCATAAAAAAGATTTTTAATATTAGAGGCATTTTGGTCATTTGGATCTAAACATTTTATACTGAAATCTCCTGTTATAAGTAATTTACTTTTAGAAGATTTCTTGAAGTTATAAGCCAGCTCAAGAACATTGCACAATATGTCCATAAAATGGCTCAAATTGTGGTAAAAAATAGACCTATAAATTGAGATTATTGTAATATTCTTTTGTTTTACCTAGCAAGCTCTTCACTGAGGAGGTGAGAATATTTGTTAGCTCTATAAATTCTAGAGATTTATGCACATATATACATGAACCTCCATTTTTATACATGCTTTGACTAAAACTGCTAGCCATTCTATAATTCATTAAATTATAACAATCTTTTTCATGATTGTTTAATCAGTGCTCAGAGTGATGCAAAAATGCTATAACACTTATTAATTTTATTAAACATAATTCTTAAAAATTATCACATCACAAACAAAAAATCTTATTTCTCTCTTAAAACTTAATGTATTTCTTATTTCATAAAACATTAAATTTGTTTCTTTTTGGGGAGGTACATCCTTATACAAGATAAAGTCGGTATATTACTTAATAATTATTGTGTTTCAGCCTAAAGTTCATTTTTAGTAAATTTCTAATTTTTAAAAATATGAATATATTTCATCATTTATTTGGTAATTCGTGTTAATAAGATTGTAATTTTTGCTAAAATTACATTTATTTTAATAAAATATCGATGGCTTTTTTACAGTAGGACTTAAAATAAGTACTTTTTTCAACAAGAAAACATACACAGCAACAGAAAAAAGACCATGATACTCATTTAAATACTCGCTATAGTTATATGTTTACACAGTAAGCATAATATGAAGAATAGTTTCTTCTTTGTAATGGCACCAAAGCCAGAAAGTTCTCCTGGCAGCTAAGCAGCCATTTCTACACACATCTTGGATGCCTGTTAGGAGATGGTGCATGTTAGCGCTTTACCATTTAAGTCCTATTGCAAATAAGTTATCGATATATGAAAATAATCAAAAAGGGTCTAATTTAAAAACTGTTCTTTATCTTAGGTCTGATCATTTGGCTCGTCATACAAAAATACACTTACTGCAAGACAAACGGCATGTATGCGGCGAATGTGGCAAGGCATTCAATCGACTGGACAATCTAAAGACTCATCAACGCATCCACACTGGCGAAAAGGACACATCGAAACTGCATTTATGCATTTACTGTGGAAAGGAATTCAATAATTCCAGTAACATGGTAAGTGGTTGATATAAATTCCCATTTATGTTAACTACTTAACTGTGTTGCTTGTATTATTGTCTAACTTTTTAAAAAGAAGATTGGCAATAATCAGGTTTTTTTTACAGAATTTGTTCTGTTTGGTGGCTTTTAATTTTTATCGTTATAAATTTTAGGGTGTACAGCAGATTTATCACACTTTAATTTCAATTTTTAAAATTAAAAATACATTTTGATAGTTTAGATTTGGATTTCGACAATAAATTTATCCAGCAGGAACGAATTTCCTGGTTGTTTATTAATGTGTAGTAAGCTCAAGGGACCTAGATACATATGTTGATTTTCATTGTTATTATAATGAAAAAAGAATATGCGCTGCTTCTTGACCAATAATTAATATTTTACTTTCTACAGATTTGCTAAGATTCTTGCTTTGTTGATTTAAAATTAATTTGATATATGATATCTGCGTAAGTTTGCATGACTAATGTGTATAATTTTGTTGACTGTCGATATGGCAAAAGTTTAGAACAGTCTGTTTCAATTAGAACACGTCACAATCCACCTCGGCCAAGAAATTCATATTTTAAGAATTAATTGCAGCCACAGTGTCGGAAATAAAACGGTTGCACTGTGCTATTGTAGGCTAAAATAAAAAAAACGTAACTTTTTGGTTAGTTGTATTGAGGTTATATAGATTCTCATTGGATGTGCAAGAGAAGCCACTTTTATTTCACAACTGCATGATAATAATTGTAGCTAGGTATTTCTAATAATTCATAAAATTGTAGAGAACCCCGTTTTGGCGCCTTTTTTTTAATTAAATTTGATTAAAACTAGCTATTTCTTTTTCCCTAATTTGGCCAATTAAAAATTATTACACTACTAAAAAAACACTGATCACAATTCTAACCAAACTTATTCTACGATACGACACTGGCGGACAAACATTACCGCGAAATTCACGAAGTTGTTTGACGTTTATTACCTCTCCAATTACCAAAGTACTGTTCAACCTCTGCTTACGCTCTACCGCTAAAATGATATCTAGAAACTTTTTCCTGGGTAAATGACTTTTCAATTCACTCCTCCTAGTTTAAAAATGAAATATAGTATTTAATTACTAGCATTTGGTGGTGGGGTGGGGTTCTTTAGGGTTTCCTCACCTGTAAATTAAATAACACCATCAGTAAGTCCTCCTAGAAAAATAATTCATATAGTGTTTCAACTACAGGCCAAATTAGTGAAAATCATAATACGTTTTGAAATAAAATAATAGTATTTGGTAAAATCTTGGAAAATGGATTATTTCTAATAATACACGATGAAGTGTTTTAATATGTTAACTTAGTAGAAAGTATTTGAACACTATTAAACTATTATATACTTATCTGCTTTACACTCAAAAATTATATGTTTTTGATTTCTATGTTTTTCTTGTTTTTGGGTGCTGCATTTATTACTTTTTAGATTATATTTTTAGTTGTGTTATGCCAAAATTGAATTGTTTGTAGTATGTAAATATGCGGAATTACTTTTAAAGTAGTTAAACTTTTTGCATTCAATAAATTAAAGATTTTTAATAAAAATTACTCTGCCATCACCTGTTTACTATTTTATGTTTGATATAATTTCTTATTTATATTTATTACAGCTTTCATGATTTAAAATCTTTGAATATTTCATCCCTTCTGCCCTGTTGCCTTTCGTAAACTTTTTTAGTTAAATTTTTATCAGACTTCAAAAAAAAAGGAGGAGGTTCTCAATTCGTCGCAATATTTTAATATTTAGCAATCACTGCCCATTAATAAATTACTAAGATTTTGTAATATTATTATTAAATTTTAATCATTTTTATCAACAATATAATTTCACTTATAAGAAATGTGAATATCATCTAATTTGAGTTTATCATTTTACTAATTCTTAAGGCGACTTGAAATTTAAATATACACTTTTTGCTTTAGTTTCAGCAAAACACCCACTCTTATTAACAAAAAATAAGAAAAATAGCTATTAATTGATTCTCTTCAGCTGTCAAACATGGACAAATGTCTGTTGTTTGAACCTTTTTTAAAAGATAAGCATTTTCTAGATTGTTCACATGAGACGTCATACTGGAGAACGGCCTTATAAATGTAGCGAATGCGGAAAAGGTTTCCCAAGATCACACGATTTGAAATGCCACGAACGTACCCATTCCGGGGAAAAGCCATATCTGTGTACTTTATGTGGCAAATCGTTCAACAAGAGTAATAAACTGGTAAGTTTTGTTCACTGACGAATAATAAAAAAAAAATCCTGAAAGAGGTTATTTCAATAAGTATTATTATCATTAACAAAGAGCTGATTTCAGAAATATATACATCATGTTCAAATTAAAGTTAAAAAGATAAATACAAAAATAAAAAAGTATTAGTTTTTCCATTTTCAAGTTGGTAGGAACACTATCTCTAATATTTTGTAATAACTTGTGGGTTATTTGCTCTATTTCTTGTTATATTTTATATTTTTCAATTCACGAGTACTATCTGGTTAATTTAGAGTCTCTTCCTCTAGAGAAAAGTACAGTTGCGTCACGGTGACATGTATGAGAGAGTCTTCATAGTCGGCGCCCAAGGGGTAAACCACTAAGGTCAAAACGTACCAATATTTCGGAAATTACCCTAAATTCGTATCATTGATTTTGCGTATTTCTTATAATTTTCTATTAAACTTTCTTCTTGAATATTTAAATGACTTTTGTGCTTTTCATCTACCACCTGCTGTGTTTATATTTCAAAGAAAATAGATTTTAAAGTCATTGATGATGATTTTAAAAATTTCGAGAGAATTTGTAGCGATTCGGTAATTTCGAGTAAAAACATTTGGCTAGTGATTTACCTCTCATCAGCGCCATATTGTAAATGCGACAAATCAGTGACGTAACGATTTCATATTTGTAGATTATATAAGCACGCATTTGTTTGCATTAGACGCTTTGAAAGCAACGGAGGAATCGTATTTTCTTCTGGACATTGCAAAAATACTTTCCGTATTGCAGTGCAGTGCAATCGAAATATGAATGCATCTTATCTGTTCTCATCCACGTACGTCATTAGCAAGCATCGACGGTAATAAGGTTACCTTTGGTTCGTTCAGAAGATATCAAGTGGAGTCAGATCTGGTGAACCTGCGAACCATTTTATCGCCCCGTTTCTTCCAATCCACTTATTTGGAAAGTCATCTTCAATAATTCTAAACTGATAATAAAAAGTAATTGCTTCAGAATTTTTTCCGAAAAAACTAATATATCTTTAACATTAATTTAAGTGCTTGAGACCACCACACTGCTACAGCTGAATAGCTCTCCACCCACAGCCATTTGATTGGTGGATCACCACCGTTAGGGATGTTGCGATACCAGTCTTTACTTTTACCGATACCGGTATCAAAAAGAGTATCGAAACCAAAGTATCGATACCGGTATTGAAAAGGGTATCAGAACCAAATTATCGATACGGATATCGAAAGAATGTAGAACAACCAAAAACAAAAGTCATAGGGTAAGGCGACAGTGATCCTACAATACACTTTTTGTATGTATTGTAATATCGAAACGGCGAAACGGAATTAGTAGTATCGAAACAAAAGTAGTATCGATATGGGTAAAGTATCGAAAGCAAAGTATCAGGTACTAAATGACCCGGTATCGAAAGAAAAGTATCGATATCAGTATCATATCAATAGTATCGCAACATCCCTAACCACCGTTCCTATCAATCTACAAACAGCAAAACAAATTCATAGGCGTTCATTGTTTATTATTTTTATTAATATTTTTTTTTTGCTTTTCTGTACTTGGGCGTGTCCAGTCAAATTGATGATGACATGTGTGGCCTCTTTTTAAAGGAAACGAATTTTTTCGGAAAATGTGGCGAACTAAAATGAAAAATCGACCTGTTTCAGGATTTTTTTAATGAAAATATATTCGTGTTTGCTAAAACTGAATGTATGCTTTACTTTATAGATGTATGCACTTTACAGTCTAAAAGTGTAATAAATCCAAAATGCATAGTTTTTTGAAATAACAATTTTTTTCTTTAGCTTCGCCACAGTAGGGTTCATACAGGGGAACGTCCTTATGTTTGTAATATATGTAGTCGGGCGTTTACTCAATCCAATGATTTGGCTCTTCACATGCGCAGACATACAGGGGCAAGACCGTATGCTTGTGGCGTATGTCCTGCACGCTTTATACAGTCTGGGCAGCTAAAGACTCATAGAAGAACTACAGGACATTGGATGGACGTTCAACCGGATCTGAAGGGAGGACATAGAGTTGAACCGGTGACGCCTGCACATGAACCTGCACCAATTAGATTTAAAGTTCACAGGTAATTATTCTACTGATTTATTTTATCCTTATACCAATTTGTGTGTTGGATTAGGATTTCGTTTGGAAAATGCTTTTGTTAAAGAATATAACTATCATTAACAAAATCATACAGTATAACTAAAACTTTATTTTGAAATTCAAGTTCCTCTTTCTTTTCACTTTTTTAATTTCAAACGACTTCTTCTAAGTAAAAGTAAAAAGATGTTTATGTAAAGAGTGCATTTAAGGATTCACTATGTAGAAAATTCGACAGTTTCATTAAAAAATAAATACAGAAAAAACAACATCCATCTACTCATCTTATTAACAAATAAATTAGATTAAAAATCACAGCATAAAGATGAACTAGCAGGCGCTCTAGACAAGAAATTCTTTGATCTTAGTAAGTGAAGTTTCGTCCACTTCAGTCATAATTCTGGTGCATATGCACCACCGACTTTGCTCTGCATAAAAGATGCTACATGACTGACGTTCAGCATCTGGAAAATATGGCGAATCGCTTGCTTAGGATGCTGTCAACACACTTATATTCATTTTTATGCTGTGTAAAAACTATTATTATTTATCGGGTCGGTAGTGTAGCGGTCTAACGCGCTTATATTCATTTATAGGCAAGTTTATGAGTGAGACTGCTGGGCTTCGAATCCCAGACCAGACCATGTGGATTTTTAATTAAATTGCATGGTTCGGTTTAGGATTTGATGTGTGCCGTATTAATAGAAATTCAATTTCTGTTGGTATGACAGATTAAAAAATCGCCATGCATTACCGTCTCGATGATGGTGGGTGAGGTTTTCCGGGTTTTCCTCACCTGTAAGTCAAATGGCACCATCAATCATCTTTAAGTCGCCCCGAAGCGCCACGGCAAATAATAATAATAGCCGTCCCTTCCCCTACACAAGTCGTTCAGTCGACTTCAGGGGTTGAAATTCACTCGTAAGGGGGTGAATTAGGGAGAGTATTATTATTATTATTATTATTATTATTCTTATTATTATGTCTGAATTTATGAAACCCCCCAAACAAATATTTTTCTTATTTACACTCAACATTTTGCATCCTAAAAATATATTTGGACAACTTGACAGATTAACAGTTTTACGTAAATTAACTTATTGGCAAAAAATTGTTGCTCACTTATTTCGGATATATTATATATTACTATATGACAAATTATGTTTTACCTTTTTAGAGCAATGAAAAAGGAACAGAATATTCTGGAACAAGCTGGTCTAATGCATCCTCAACAAGCATCTACTTCTGAGAACGTACATCTAGGCGAAGTTCAGTCCATGCCAAATGAACCTCAAAGAATACTAATGGGTATAATGGGAAATATTAAAATTCCTGGCACTGAGTCAGTCCAACCTCTACTCATTGACACTGCCAAGTTGGCAGAACTGCACAACGCAGGCTTGGTAAGCACAAGCATAATGAGCATTAATTAAATATTATCTCCTTGCTTTTAATAGATAATATACAAGGTGTTATTAAAATACATGTTTATAATAAAATAGATAAAAGTGTATGATGTCCAAAAACGAAGGGCGTCAATTTCCCTTTTACCCGACTATTATTCTATGCTTGTTTTAAGCATAGGTACTCACTCGCCCAACATTGTGAAACTTTCTAACAATTCAAATCTACATTATGTTAGTACATTTTTAACAAAAATAAACCTAATTTATCTTTAAGCATGAAAATACTACACTACAATAATTAATTGTTCTAAAGATCATGCATTATTATTTGAAGGGCTTATTGTAAAAACGTGACAAGTCACACTTTTTCAAATAATGACATTTTTTACTCCATGACAATAAGTGATAAGGTTACAATCCACATACCAAATGGATTTTCTCCAACAAATGCCATAATTAGCCTATAAATCAAGTTATTGCATTTTAACAAAGCTGTAGTAATTTTAAACATTTTTTTTGAACCTTTGAACCATGTTTTCTCAATAAATTAATTCTATGGCTTGTCACGTTTTTTCAATAAGCCCTTGCATTAACCAATAATAATATTAAATAGGTCTCTCTGTTTTTGCCTAGTTTCCAAGGAAGGGATGTTCAGAAATTGTTCTAATTTAAAGGCTATATATCTGAGATTTTTTTTGGCAATCGTCCCTACACCTAAAGCTAAGTTATTGGGTAGTTTAGAAGAATAGTGAGATATAAAGTACAGACAGAGTGTGACTCCGGTCTTCGAGGTCGATATCCTTAGGGGACCTAGTTTTTGTGCCTAATTATGCAAAGTTCAGTGGCGGAGGCTTGATTTAACTTAAATTTTCAAAATAGCATTTTTGCACATTCCAGAAACTCCAAATATTCTATTTTATTATCTACATGTATTTTAATAGCACCCTGTATACACCGCGTTTCAAAAGTTACTAGACGATAAGGTTACTGAATTTTATTTATTATTAAGCTTAATTTTGGTTTGTTTTGCTGGTCTGACGTTATTTAAAATTTTTATTTTGTACCAGTCACAGCCTTCAGACATGGATAAAATGAAAATATTTCTTTCTCATGAGAAATTGATCCAAATTTTTAATTTATTGTTTTAAATTCAGGTAAACTTGCCAAGTGTAATTCAAGCAACAAATGGGGACGAAATCAAATTAAAATCCGAAGTGGGTAGTTATGGTATGCCTCAGTGTGATGATGAGCTGGAAAAACCGGACGATAATACAGGTGGTTTCAACCAGAACGATGTTGTAATATATTCCAGTGTTGGGCATACTTCAACGACATATACATCTAGTGAAAATTATAATTTCCAAAGTTTTCACTAGATGACACCTCGGAATATCTAGTTAAAAGGTGATTTTTATCGAATAGAAGACTTTATTTATGCACTATTTTAATTTTTTACTATTTTTGAGTGTTATTAACCAAGATGTCTGATTGAAAAGGAGATTTTATGTCTCAAATAATGCATCACAAACATTTTATAAACAAAAAACAATTTTACATAAATGCACAAAGAGTTGCTAAACAATTTTTTAAATTATTAAAAACGAAGGTTATAAAGGTCAACTGTATATTTAACTTTAAAAAAGAGAGGCTTATTGATATAAATAAAAGAGATCTGCTCAGGCAACTAGGTTAATACTCGAGTTAAATTATTTTTTTTGGCCTACCAAAAGCATACTGCCAACATTTTTTGTTGAATTTAGAAGTATAACCTTGAAGGTTGTAAGTAAAATTTACCACAATTGTATTTATATGAAACGGTTTGATAAATAATTTATGTACATAGATTAAGAATATTTAGTAAGAATACAATATTGTATATTAAAATTGTACTGCATTGTTTTAAACATTGAAAAAATGTAGGAATGAATGAAGATATTTTGATTCAAGGAGTGTTTAGTAGAGAGAAAAAATTACAGAATATCATATTGTATATCTGAAATTTTGGTGAGCGAACTCAAAAATTCATTTAAATAATAAAAACATTTTTTTATTTGTGTCTGTTAGATTAAGTAGCAATATGGAATAAACAAAATAAAAATAGAACCATTTTATATTGTAGTTTAATAACCTGTTCTAAATATATTTAAAAAAAAAACCTATTCAAACATGGTAGAACAGATTAAAACGTTTTCGTAATACTATTTAATACTAGCGTCTAGCCCTTGGGAGATCACCTACTGTTAACGTCTATTAATTTTAAACAATTTAATTGTTCTGATATATATTCACTAAATACACCAACTTATTTTATAACTAATTTATTTGTACTTAAAACTACACTTATTTATATTTACTTTAACAATTTATTTTTACTCGACAATATTTATTTCTAAAATTTACTAAGTAACGGCAAAAGAAACTACTTATTAAACGGCCTAGACAAATCCAGTCCTGTCTCGAACAATCTCGATATTAGTCTAGACGTTCTCGAGATCCTTCCAGTAAATTCTTGAGGCGGACAGCGAAAACGGAACACAGACGATCTGCTGAACGGCCATAAGCACAAACAAAGAACAGGGCCGGACTTGTTGAAATTGAATCGCATGATACAACGATCCTCATATGTGACATGCTCAGAGGAACCAATGGGACGGTTGTCAGCTGCTGAACTTTGAAATTTAAAATGTGAAATAAGTTTGGTTATAGAATGTCGTTTGTCGTTTTACTTTATTTTTAAGTGTTACAGTATAAAGATATACAGTATATTTATAGTGTTGGCAAGATCAAACCTAAATTTTGCTTGTGTATCAACGTTATAATTCACAGGTGGAGTTATGGGTCGGTAGCGGCTACCGACTTGTAAATGGCAACATCGTTACCACATCCTTTACTTTTCACTTCGACACCACAAAGTGAGACCGAAGGTTGATCTTGTCAACATTATATATTATTTTGTTTATAAGTGTTCTGAAAACAATATAATGCATTTTTATCAGCATTGTAAGTGTGAACAATGCAGCAACAAATACAGTGATAATAGTAGGTCCATTTAAGAAAGCAAAATTTAATCCTGAGAAAAGTTATTATCTGGCTTTTTGCAGTTTTAAAAAACAAAATTGCCATAAACGGTTTGTGGAATTGAAACATTTAAGATATGATAAAATACATGGAGACCTATGTGAAAAGACTAATTTTTACAATAAGTTTTGTGCAGCTAAGACCGTTGTAGAATAGTACAAAATACAAGGAATTAAAAATCAGTTTGTAATTCCCGAGAGATGAAAGATTCTCGTCTCGTACGAGACTAGAGAGACCTTTTCTCTCAAAAAAAAAAAAAAAAAGATTCGAGACGAGAGAGTGTCATCTCTCGACGAGAATTTCTCGTTTCTCTCGCGCAATTAACTTTTTACTTTAAAATTTTCAATTACTTATCGGAACTTAAAATTTAAAAATATCATATTTCCAGATAGGCAAAAAGTTAACTATAAAACACCTATTCTATATACACAGTGAGTTTTAAGTATGGAACGCCTCAATTATCTCGGAAACGGCTTGCACAATTTTTATTTATGGTGATCCGTCAAATGCGCCCCGAAAAAAGCGGTCCGACAAAAGTGCCCCGACAAATGCGCCCAAGACAAAAGCGCCATCCAAAATTTCTTTGTATAAAAAACTAACCAACGGACAGAATCGTAATAATTTCCATGCAGTCAAATTTTTCGGAGGTTACTTTTGGAGATAAATTAGAAAGACGACAACTTTTAAGTGTTTTTTTCGAAAAGTTAAAGAAACGAACGTATAATATATTGTTAACACGCTTTAAAATGCTTTCATTTGATATCACACGAAAAAAATTCTAACTTCCAAATGAAACCCTACTCCCTCCCAACTAACTTCTAAGAAAAAGTATTTATAGTAGGGGCAGAAGTTGGAAAGGCTTTTGCTAGATCTCCCACCTCATACACATAACTTGACAGGTTTGCGGCGGATCTAACCGAAGTGGACGCGATACATTGGCGTACAAAATTATTTTTTAGATGTTAATAATAATTTCGAGTAAATAGTTTAATAAATTGTGAAGAGCTGTTGAAATTTTGTAGAATTATGATTTGGGTATTATAATACATGTTTAATAATTATTTATAGTCCATACATACATGCGATTGTCCAGTTCTTATTATATGAAACGACACTGGCAGGTAAACATTACTGCAAAATTCTCGAAGTCGTCCGACGTGGTTTGAAGTTTACCCCCTCTCTACCTACCAAAAGCCTTTCCAACTTCTGCATCTGTTATACATTCTTAGTTAACGCCCAATTTGTGCCACTGATTACTTTAAATTTCAATTGTTTATGTCAAATAGTGTCTAAGCAAAATGATTGTAACAGACAGATAGGCAGAGAGATACCAAGGTAATTTCCCTAAGTGTTTCCTATTGCCAATTTGGGTACTGATGAGACAAATTACTTGAAAAATTATTTGTTATTGTCTTCAAAATTTTACAGTTTTTTCATGTTTCGTCCTAAGTATATCTGTTACAAATTTAAATTTGATATGTTTTTAATACGAGAGAAACAAGACAAGACGAGACGAGAGAAGCGCCTTCTCGTTGAGACGAGAGAACAGTTTTATCTCGATCTTCGAGAAGAGGATTCTTTCTCGTCTCGTCTCGCGGCATCACTAATTATTGTGCTGCACATATTATGATTGAAAATCGTATGTGACCTTCCAGGGACTAGGCAATAGTATATTTAATTAGTCTAACTCAGAAATATCAATTTGAAAAGATTGAAAAACATAAAAATGTTAATTAAATTATTTTTTACATTCTAAATAGAAGGGCCAAAAATGTTATAAAAACTTTAATTGGTAATTATTGATTAATAATCAATACTTAAATTATTAAACAGTAATTTGATATTTTTGGTTTCTGTATTTTTACACACATTTTTATCCTAATATTGCATTTTTAACAATATAAAAAAAATTATTTTGAAGGTGTAAAGGGGTAGCAGAAAAATCTGGCAACAAGACATTTTCTTTGAAACGAATAAATGTATAATTATGAAATTGTAGTTGTTTGAATGGGACCGTATTACATTATTATTATTATTATTTGATTTTTTCTGATCCTATACATACAGGGTAGCGAAAAAGTCCAGCAAGTGCCCACTACTTTTTGCAAAATTTTACTTTGTGGTCCAAAGTTTTCTATAAATATTTGTTCGGTATTATCGGTTGTAAACAATCATTATTTATTTTGTTATTTAAAGTTCCATACTTTTTTATGAGTCATTTTTCAGACTTTTGTCACCAGTATGCACTTTCATTCTCATGGAAGGTAAGTTCGTAATAAGTCCATAATTATTGTCTTATAAACTTTACAGGACAGTCGTTAAGTACGTATAATTAAAATAAAGTACTATGTCTAGGTAAAAACAGCAAAAAAATTTTTTTTTTATTTTTATCAAATAAAATTTTAACGGCAGAGAAACTAAAACAGAACATTTGTTAATCTTTATATACACTACTGAGTATTATAATAAGAAAGGCCCACTGAAAATATACTTCTCCTCGACGTCCAATGAATGGTTGTGGCAAAATTGATATATTAGCAATAATCCCAAAGTAGACGACTACTTGAAGTGTATAGCAAAAAGTAGTAGATCAATTACGGTTATCAAGGAAATATAATGTTTACTAGATCTTTATGGGTTAGGAACACCTGATTTTACTTCTGCTCTAGCTTGTTTCAACTCATCTTTGGTATATTTTTTCCCTTTATCAGTTTTTCTTATGTACTTTTCTAGGCTTGTGATTTGCAAAAAAAAAAAATATTAAATTTCATATTGCGAATCATGTCTATATTTAATAAAAAATTAATGATAAGTGTTATTTCATTTAAATAAAAAATTGACTGGTACACTCTTTCCAGCCCTAACAAGTTTGTAGGTTAAGTGCGCACGTCCTTTTTTTTATTATGAAGTTGAAATAAAAATATGTTTAGATACTTCAGTTATTACTATATAAGGATTGGGATTAAAACTAAAAACACACAAATCGTTCCAGTTGATTACAGTTTGCAAACTACTCTCTCAATGAGAACCACTTCTTTACTGTGCCTCGAAAAGGCGCTGCTTGCTGCCATCTATTTTTGGGTGGTTGAGGAAGGCCGGAAGAAGGTATTTTGGGAATCATCATGGTTATTCATACATTAGTAGTACAACTACAGGCATACTAACACACACGACTTTACCCGAGTTGACCTTAACAAGATATTTTAGGTTGTTGAATGGGAGACTATTATATTAGCAATGTGGTACTTTTTTAAAAGAAAAATTCTATATGGCGGCGGTACGCTAAAAGCTTATGTCAAATAAATTTGACATATCCTGTGAAAAATGCAGAATATAATCCCTTTCATCAAACTGCAATTTCATAATTATATATTCATTAGTTTCAAAGAAAATACCTTGTAAGACTTTTTCGCTACTCTATATGTAATATTTTAAATAATAATAATAATTTTACAAATCTACATTCCAACATTAGCTGGTATTTTGTCTCCTCCACTTTGACATGTTCTGTGCTATATTAATTTCAATTCGCCTTACATTCATATCGCTGCTAACAATATATCATATCGTTTTCATTTGTCTGCCTCTTTTACTTCTTTACTCAACCCTGTCGATTATCTTGTAGGTTATTCTCTTGTCTGAACATGTCCAAAGTTTTGAATTTCCTTACAGCATCTGCATTCATTAAATTTCACGGGAATTTGTCCTGCATATTTTCCCGTTATTTTTATCTAATACCAATTAAAACAAGTAAATGCATTCAGTTTAAAATAATTACTTCCAGAAGCATTGATTTTAGCCTTTGAATACCATATTTCTGATCTATTAGTCATATTCTGCCAAATCATCTCCACTGGAACCCCGTCGTATGTTTTTCACATTAATAAATACTAAATACTATAATATACTTATAATAGTCCCTCAGCTGACTGCAAAAAATGGAAGTCTTTTTCGCTCTTTGTAGTTGGGTGCAAGGGAGGGAGATTTAACAAGTTAAACTATGTCCCGGCGGTGGATGTGACCGTAAGGGAAGATATTTAGAAAAATATGTATTTATGAAATTCACTTTATCACCCTGTAGAATGAAAACTGGGATGTTTGCAGGAAAATTATATTTAGCATTTCTCAATAATTAGTTAAGATCTTCAAGTCCCCCTGTTTTAAACACCCTGTATATAAAAAATATTTCGAGTAAGATGTGTATGGAAAATGTATGTTTTTAGTTCATCCTCTAAACATTTACAGGGGTGATTCAATAGTTTGTAAAAAATAACTGGAAAAAGCCTGTAATAACTAGACAGGAAAGTCATGTGTTGGACATATCAGTTTTTTGTTTTATGGCTTAGGTGTACATACCTAATATGCCAGTTGTAGTTTTTGTTTGATTTTTATTAATATGTGTTGTGTGTAAGATTTGTTACTGTTTCCAAGCCGCTCACTTCAGGAACAGCATTGTTAAGTAGAATCTAACATTGAATGGTCGGAATGGGGAATCCTACTTAGGCATCAGAGTTATTTTTACATAATAAACTTAAATAAATAAAAATTCCGACTAACGATGTGATTCAAACTGCGAACCCTTGGAATCGCAAGTCCACTGACCCACCCACTTTCGCTATGATATAAAATCATTTCATGCATATTAACCCTTTTACAGACACAAAAAACTGCGTTTAGGCTATAACAGGCGTTTTTTGTTGTTCTCGAGTAGAAGAATATAATTTCATTGCTGGGAAAAAAAGCAACTTCATTTCGAATTTTACTTCTACCGTCGGAACATAGTACAACTTGTACCTTTCCCTGAACTCAATTGCAAAGAGCTGACAAAAAAATCGACGTGCCACTTTTTGCAGTCAGCTGAGGGACTGTATTGGTGCATATCAAAATATCTCTTACAAAAGACTATTTAAAAATTATACTTTCATTCCTGTCTATGAAGGGGTTTTAGTGGACATGGAAGAAGAGATGTGTTTGGAGTAGTCAGGAGGCAAACAAACTAAAGCTAAAGCTAGCTATAAGGCTAGAGGCGGAGGAGGGAGGGAAAGGTCCTGTTTATTGTATCGAAAACGATGAAAGCTAAAAAATGTCCTACCAGATATCTATTTTTTATTATTCCCGTTGGCTTTTAAGATATCCGCTAACAAAAACCGTAAATTTTTTAATTTACCCTAATTTGTTTCAAATAATAATAATTATTATTAAATGTGGAAGGTAAAATAAGAGCAAGAATTGAAAATAATAGTTCATTAAATGCTTAACATGTAACGGGAAATATCAAATTACTTTTTCAATAAGTTTTAAAAATAATTTTAAGGTATTTTAATAGTGCATCTGTAATAAAGGTTGCATTTTATGAAAGTTTCCCTAATTGTTGCTATACTTATCGCACATTCAGTGCAATAACGTCTTTAATACAAAATTATTAGAAAGTGACTTTTTGTCACAAACTATGCATAATATGCCTCTGCACTTGGTACATCATTGTCGTAAATATATTATATTATGTATATTATACAACAAATAAACCAATATTAATTCATTTTACTTTTATAACTTTCAATTAATGAAGAGCAAAATTTTCAAATACCTCCCTTGTAAAAAAGATTTTTTTCACTTACGACGTTATTGCACCGAATGTGCCTTATATAGAACAGAATAACAGAAAAGTAATAACAATATAACCTAGTTTGATACAGTAGTCAAAACTTTCAGAAAACAGATTTGATGCTAATATGGTCATAATAACTAACGAAGTTGTATACCTTTTTTTTTTTGAGACTGAAAATTTTAATTGTGTCTTCGAATTTTTTTTTCTTTTATAAAACACTATGAAGATGGTAATTTCATCATTATTGATGTTTTTAAAAACTTGGATTCATAGGAACACCAAAAAGAGAGATTTAGAAAAACAAAGTGTTTTTTTCGAGATTACTTGTTTTTCTTAGCAATTAATTTATTGCATTTTAATTACGGCTGCTGATAAACTGATTCACTTGTATAATTTTAACATTACAATTTTATCCTGAATACATTTTTGAATTTTAAACCTAAATCCGGAAATATATCAAAATAATAGTAGTAAGCAATCATAATATGTACTACAAATATTTATTAAAGTATGCAGAAGTTCCTTTGTAAACATTTTAAGTGTTCAAAAGTATTTAATTAAAACTCTATTGGAAATGGATTTGCTTCGATGCTATCATAAACATTCAATACAATATTTTTATAACTTTGTTGAGTGCACTTTACATCTATCAATTTCTTCATGAAGAATAAATTCATGAATTTCTTCACCTTGAAAACGGTTCTGCTTTTGTGAATAAATTCATGAGGATTTCCAGTTTACCAGGTGTACCAACACAAGGAATAATTGTAAATCACTGAGGTTGTTATAGATATGGAGAGGGGAGATAGGACCTATCATTTCAGAAAAACTTTTACACCCGGATAACTTGTCAGGGCAGCGGAGCGTCTGCGTCTGTATTCAGTTTTTTACTAATTCAATAAAATTTTGTATAAATAAATGCAAACTACTAATATTTTTAAGAGAAATAAACAATAAAATCCAGATGTGGTTGAAATAATTTAAACAGAGGTAGTTCGGCGAGGTGCGGCTATTATTATTTGGCGTGGCGTTCTGAGACTTACATAGGATATGTTCTGCAGTTGTACCTTACCTCACCCACCATCATAGACGTAGCTATCATATTAATAGAAATGAATTACTGCTAATATGCCACTCATTAAATCCTATAACAAACCAGGCGAATTAAAGAAAAATTCACACATAGGAATCAAGTTACTATTAACTTTTGGCCACTGAAGACTAGGTAAATGAATACCAGATACTTACGGACTGCACTATTGAGTCGAATACAGATATCGAAGCATTTAAAATATTTATTATTATACCTACTTACCCAAACTAAATCTTGGAAATAAAGACAAACTTAAGGCCAGGGACCAATAAAGATAGAAAACTAGGTACCTACTATTTGAACTATTTACTTTATTTTAAATTCTTCAAGACACTACAGAATACCTTAAATACAAAAATGACACTTTACAAAAATTAACAATTTAATATTATTTTGTCCTACAAAGTTTACTATTAACATACTACACACATAATTTTTTTTGTTATTAATGTAACTATTTATTATAGTTTTAATTTATTTGTTAACCAGAAAGGTAAAAAATAAAATACCTAATTTAAAAAATGAACTTAAAATGAATATTTTGTATAGGGCCACTTTTATTTTAAAGGTGCGAAAAATTATCAGGTGTACAAACTATAACAAATAACAACGAAACTATCAATATTTCAAAATTTTCAGGTCACTGCAGAATAAAAAAAAAAAAATACAAATATTGCGCTTAATTCAAAGAAAATCTTCAGAACTCTATTTGTGAAATACAAGGAAAATATAACATATTATTGCAAGTAGTTATACATACAAATTATAAGAAATAAATAAAATTTTGTAGAAATGAATTCAAAGCAAATTACCTACCCATAAAGCAAAAACACATTTCGGAAATATTTCAAAATGTTACACTGAAACATTTATAATGTATAAATACTACGAAACATTTCTGAAATGTCCTGAAACGTAAAAATGTCCTGTAAATATATTTCATAGTAATATTTCTGAAATTAAAATTTGAAATCTTTTAGAAATATTAAATAGTAATGTTTCAGAAATGTATTCTTTTTTTTTAAATATTAGACATTTAAAAATATACGTTTAAAAATATATGTTTATTTAAAAAACACAAAACTCAAACAAATAAATAAATAATTTTTAAACAAAATCTCGTAAAATATAAAAGCGAATTGCTTCATTTCCACCAATCCACTACTAGTGGTACCTTAGAGTCTAATTAGTTACACTACCGTTAACGTATAACACATAACCGCACTATACTCTGCTTTAATCTAACATCACTGAACTAATTCAAAAGGCTTCGTTCTCTCGAGTCTTCTTATTAGATTGGCATTGTTGAGGCAGTACCAGGATGCATCGACGATGTTCCTTAATACTTTATTCTGGAAACGTTGAATAACTTGGATGTTACTTTTACTGGCACAGCCCCAAAGCTGGCAAATTGCTCCATTTCTAGCAATTCCTTTAAATGCACTAATCGGAAACAAATTATAGGTAATTAAAAAGGATTTATACAAATTATTTGATTAACAGTAGTTTTATTAATATTGTTTTAAATTAACTATAATAAAATGAACAATACTCATGCCTAAACAAAACAAAGCTCCGCCTAAACAAGCATTATTTCTGTAGTACCTACTCACCTCAATTTCTAAAGACATATTCTGCTTCCCATATAACATCACAACGCATATATAGCAAAAACTGACAACTCAAATCTATAATTATTTAGAATAAAGGGGTTGTTTCTGGCTGGACATAGGATGAAATTAGGCATTCCAACGACCTGTCCAAATGGCTACCAGTGGGTAATGACAGTTTAGATATGGCAACCCTGTTGTCATTAACAGGGTCAATGATACATATATAGTTATATAGATTGCTCAAAGCTGGTCGTTTACGAGCGGCCATATTGCCTGGCAAATATTTATTAATTTGAATCGGTTTAGAAAAAAATGTGTTTTAAAACTAATTTTTAGCCTTTAGACATTAAAAAAAAATAATTGCTTACATTTTTACTTCAAGGCATAAGCTTATGTTTATTTTGAAAAATATGGATGATCAATCTATGTAACTATCTATTTCATTGATCTTGTCAAATCACCAGGCCTACAGGGTTGCCATAATTTTGCTATATCATAACCCGTCAAAACCCACTGGTAGCCATTCAGTTTGGAATGCCTAATAAAATAACTACATATCCTATCTTCTTCTTACAAATCAGAAATTCTTCTTAAGTGTTGGCCTTTTACAACATAACCCGTTTAGTAACCTTTTGTGTTAACATGTATACCATATTTCAGAAATAGTTTCAGTGAAATATTTAACTAAAATATTGCAGAAACTTGTGCTTGAAATGTTATGTATGAAACGTTTGAAATATTTCTGAAACACTTCTGAAATAATGTGTGCTGTATGGGTATTTGAAAATCTTCAGGACCCTTCCAAATACAATAAATATATAACAAATTATTGCAAGTATTTTAACAACAGGTACCTCTATAAGTTATTAAAAACAAATAAGATTTATTTGACTATTTTTTCAAAGGTTTCATGGTTTTGAAGACTTTTTTTTATAAATTGGTTTTTAATAATAATTTAGAATAACTTCGGATAACAAAATAATTTAAAATAGTTGTTTCCTTTGGCAGCTTATTGTCCATTGTATATAACATTAATTAATTTTTGACTTTTCTGCACACTTCAATAACATCTTCAGAAAGTATAATTAGCTTTCATCACCTCTTTCGGAATAAAAAAGTTTTTTTGCAGAATCTCCATGGTTACGCAATAACTCAATACAAATAGGGAATTTAATAATTTGGGGAGAAATCTGGGTGTGCTAACAAAACGACGTTAGTTAGCACACCCAGATTTGTCTAGCATTTGTTTCGGTAATTTAAACCTACAAAATTTTCACAATAAACCTTCAGTTTCTTCATCATTTTCAATTTAATAATTCGTTCAGTCATTTTAATAGCATGACCTGCAATGTATGCTACAACATTTTGAATTAAATCCGTCAATAGTATATTAACTAGCATAACATAATCATGGTCATAAATTGTAGCTTTTTCAATTTGAATATATTTCATTATTATATGAATATCATCTAAGCTTAAATTTGGTGTACTTGATGTGTCATATTTTTGAAGTCTTCTGTAGGTATAAAATATTGTAGCGCTGATGAATTATTGTTCCAACCATTTCTGGATCTAACTGAACATAACAACTCTAGATGATCCTGGCTAAATTTATATCTTGGTAGATATTGTAGTCGTTTTGTTGTTATATAATCATTGTACATATAGTTAACATCTGAGACGCATAGATGACGCGGTCGTTGCGTTTCCTATCTTTATGTCTCTAATCTCTGAATTTGTTCATGAAGTGACCATGAAGAGACCATGAAGAAATTGTCAGATGTAATATGCCCAAGAAACATTTTTCGTTCAGAAACTTATAAACAATGTTGAATTAATTGATCTACGACTAGAAGTTTATTGGCAGAATTATTTATATTGGTAGACATTTTTGTGCAAATTACACTAATAAGATATTAACTCTAAAACAGTTTTATATTTAAATAGCTTTTAATTAAAATATTTAAGAGTTCTTATAGATTTACTTAATGTAGTTTTTAGGTAATATTTTTTAATGATTTCAGTGGTAGTTACATATGTATATACTGTTTTTTTCAATGTATAAAGACTTTTAAAGTAAACAAAAACATTTCAGTGTGGAAATGAATGTGTACATTATATTTTTAATAAAATTGTTTCACAAAGTTTTTGACTGTTAAGTTTTCCGATACCAGTTGTTTTCAATTTGAGTTTAAGTTACGATACACAAATACCGGTATGTTCCTGCACATATTAGCTGTATCCTTGTCACAAGATATGACCTCACGTGGCATAAAAATCCGACGCATCTACAATATGGATAAATACAAGTAACGAGAAGTTTTCAATAACAAAAGTAGGTAGGTGTCACGCTCACAATTTGAGGTAAAATTTAAAAATATTCGCTTCTCGCTGTAAGGTGAAACGAGGTATTAAAACTTTGTTGATCTACATATTTACCTATAATAAATATGAGCATGATTTGAATTCTTAACATTATTACTAGAATTTTATTTGATTCTGAATAACTTCTTGGGGAAACAGATATTCTACTGACTGCGCCATGTTATCATTGAAACAACTATTTGGAAACTCAATCTTTATTCTTTATTTTATTGTCTTTACGCTTACAAGAAACATACGTTATAGTTTGTAATATTTTAGGGATAAATTTATAGTCCATACTAAAACGTTAAAGAGACACAAAAAAGGTTTAGAACACAATAAATATGTCTGCGAAAAATAGTTAAAAACTCGATTATTTCAAACCAACAAATTTTCAGTTAGGACCTTTCTTGCTAGGGCGGCAGAATAGATAAACATTGGCATTAAAAAAAAATACAAGTATTAAAAGTAATTTTAAAAAACCGACTTTAAAAACGTGCAGGGGCTATCGTCACATTAATCAAATTTATATGGGACCACCCCCGAGGTACCCCCTTACTAACAAAAAAGAATCATAGAAATCGGACAAGGTGGTAAAGAATTATCGCTGAACCTAAAAAAAAAATCATTCCAACGAATTGAAAACCTCCCCTTTTTTAAAGTCGGTTAAAAATGAAATTACTTCGGACTTTATTCTCATGTATTTTCCAAAAGATTCAGAATTTTCTTTGAAATGATCTGAACAATTTTTTCATGCCTAATAATAGTTATTTACGTACCAAGAGCTGGAAGAATATGTTCGCGTATAAGCGCATTTAAAAGCATGAACGACGAAGAAGCGAATGTTTATATTGCGTGAATACATGGAAGATGTTTTCACGTCTGAAGTTTAAAACTAACGAAGCGGTATTCGTAATAACACAGTCTATGCTTACGCATGCGCAGATGATAATACGAAAATAAAATGTGTTATGTGAGACTTTTCATTTCAATTTGAGCTGTGTCCAGGCCGTTGGAGTCTATTCAGAGATAACGAGGAGATGTAACTACTAACAAATATCGTTCGGTCCTGAATAAGACATTCTAAGGGACACAGGAGGGTATAATATCCACTTTTTACAAAATTATTTACATATATTAACCCGTTGACGGACAACGACGTCTATAGACGTTATTGACAATGTGCGCTCCGTGACACCTTAATTTAAGGACGTCTGTGGACGTCTTTTATAATACCTCCATAGCTCGGCAACAACTTCTACAGACGTCGGAATGAATCGTAAATCGGTAAAGTGTCATATCAAGCACACTAATTTGACTCTGTGCATTTGACGTGAGAGGTGGGGATAGTTAGAACATGGCGTCATAACGGTTTATGCGGGGCGCCTCTGCGGGCCTCTGGCATTTAGTATTTTAGTCAGTAATCAGAAATGCAGCACGTGGTATGGCGTTAGCTATTATTCGATATTTTCATTAGTTTTCAAATAAAAAATACATTTGCGTAATGTGTTTTATTTATACCGACGTCTATGGACGTCTACGTTACAAATGTATAGAAAAATGTCTAGTATGTGACAGTGACGTCTATAGCCGTTATTGTTTTTTTATATTATTCTGCTTTTTTAGAAGTTAAATAACATATATTATATAAGTGTTACTATAATATTGCAAAATTTAGTGAAGTTGCAATAGTGTCACAAAAAGCATGTCCACCTGTTCACATGTGTCCGTCAACGTGTTAAAAAAGCTACAATAATTCAACCTTTTTTATTGCAACTGAACCCAAACATTTTTGAATCATTAGTTATATTAAATTTAACTAAATTAGCCTGTTTACACATTTATTCATTGATAAAAATAAGTTGTATCTGCCTAAAATTCTTCTCTTTATTCCCTTTTCTTACCTCTCACCTTTCGTCGCCTCGCCCCGTCTCTACAGATAGAGTATATCGATTGTTCAAAAATGTGTTCAGATTGAATCAAAACCTTCTAGATATAGCCAAGCATAGAAAATCAGACGGATTCTACGATAAACAAAAATCATCCAGTACATCGGATGACCAAGATGAATTAAAAATAATTGTGATCTATTTGATATCTTTAAATGAAATGAAATATGGAAACTTTTGACACAAGCACGGTGTACTATCATTGCGTTCGGTCTGCCAAGTTCCTTTAACTCCTTTAACACTTTTTATTCCAAACGACCCTTTTAGCGTTCGGTTTAGTCCGATTAGTGACAGTTTAACATGCTTAAATGTCATTTAAAAGCACCCTAAAAAACTCCGCTTTTGTCCCGCTTTTGTCCCGCTCCAGCCCCTGACTATCCGAACTCGCCTTATATAAGACACAGTCCAATCATTATAGTAAGTTCACCTCGGAATTCGAGATACCCAGCTGTAAGTCTGTAAATACTTGTATATTGACACCCTAAAAGTTGTCTCAAAACCTACATATGGTAGGGTGTACGCATCTATTAAATTTCAAGGTCAAAGGTCACAAAAATCGGTTTTTTGCGCTTTTTTTTGTAAATATCTCATTTACTATGGGTTTTTGCTATTTGCATTTATCATCAATATTGTAGAATACAAAATTCTCTAAAAATTTTGTTTAAAAAAATTTTTCATACGGTGAACCGTTTTCGAGATAGACGACGGAGAGCGCGCGGTCACAGCATCACTTCAGGTCAACCGGTGCCTCCGGTCGAAAACGCGCCATATATAGTTAATGAAATATCGATAAATCAATGATTATAAATATTTGTCAATTTTTATTAACTATTATATTATATTTTATCATTTTTTTTCCTAACCTATCCACTTTTTATTTAGTATTAATTTATTTAACAACACTTACCTGCCCATGTAATTGCAAAATTGTTAATGAAAATATAGGAATTATATTTGAATTTTAACCTAATTAATATTAATAAATTCTTACATGATAAAAAAAAACAAATAAATTATGAAATAATCTTTTTATTAAAAAATATCATTCAATACATTTATTTTTATTAAAAGTAAAAAATGGAATAAAGGGTACAAAAACTACAATTTATAATTTGAATCATCTTCTTCCTCTTCATCGTCGTCTTCCGGCTACTGGTAAATTTCAAACTCCTATTCATTATCGTCTTCAACGACATTTGTCTCAAGTTCTTCCATGATTTCGGGGTCAAAGGTTCCATCTTCGTTAATGTCGCTCTGATATGGTAGAGCATTGAGACGAGCTTGCCCATTACATTGGCCACAAGCTAAAGAGCATTGCAAGCCCGCTTTCCTGCATCCGCATCGCCAACCACAACCACTCTTGCAGTTGCAGAAAATTGTATTTAGCAAATCTTCTGAAGCAGGTGGTAAAATTGTCATGATAGGCTCCAGAAAATCGTTTCGCATTGCCCAACCCCATACCTGGGGTTCCAAATCATGCCCTAACCAAGTTTGAACTTAATAATATACACGTTTGAAATGTTGACGAGCAGCTGCACTTGTTGGTGGAATATTTGAAAGCTGCACAGGTTTATTAAGTTTTGTAGACTCGACGTAATGCATATAACGAAGATGATCGAGACTTTTCACAGATTTCGGAGCATTATAGACTGCCAATAAGGTTTGAGTTCCACTCTCTAATAACCTCTGGGCCGAACAATTTTCTTCCTCAAATGCTGCAGCTAGTTTTTCCCTTTTTAAAAATCCCAGAAGTTGTGTCACAGCCACTTAATGCGTGCAGAAATAAAATATGTGTTTTGGAATGAGGATAATTATCAAAACTTTTAGTCGAGTATATCTCCGTTTTTACATTTCCTTTCCAAACTTTTTTAAAGAAAATTTCTTGTTCGTAAGACAGTGTACGCCCAATTAAAATGACAAGTAAATCAATATCTTGTCCTATTATAACTGCAGTTTTTTCAGACTTTGATTCTTCAATTACAGTTTCAACAATAAGAACATCTGCATCATCTCTGGCTTGTTTAGTAGTAATATTTGCAGCTTGTAATGTTTCAATTAACATATTAATGAGCATATCTTTGTTAATTCGATTTGATAATAATTTTTCTTGAATAACTGGTACAATCACTGTTTCATCGAAACAGACTTCATACGTTTTTGAAAGTGCAGCAGATCTCTGCTGCTCCATAGCTTTTACGTTCTTACTGTAGTCTGAATTTTTTTAAACAAAATTTGTAGAGAATTTTGTATTCTACAATATTGATAATAAATACAAATAGCAAAAAAGCCATAGAAAATAAGATATTTACAAAAAAAAGCGCAAAAAAACGATTTTTGTGACCTTTGACCATGAAATTTAATAGTTGCGTACACCCTAACATATGTAGGTTTTGAGACAACTTTTAGGGTGTCAATATTCAAGTATTTACAGACTTACAGCTGGGTATCTCGAATTCATTCTTACCTAATTTAAGCTTAAATGACTGGACTAACAAGGCATAAACGACAAATGACATTTGAGTAAGAGGTGATTGTGTCGAAATAACGGTTCCAACCGTTACACCTTCTTTCGTTATAATATTTATTTGACATACGCCTACTCTTCGAAGGGACTTAACCATTAATTTTTTACGGAAAATACTGTTAGATTATTTAAAATATCAAGAAAACAATGAAAATATTTTGGATTATCCTACATTTTGCTTTAAAATACCGATTAGCTTTCTTTTATTTAATTTAAATGAAAGTAGACAAAGAGTGTGCCAAAGTTACTTTGACACACGTCAAATTATAACAATTCGCGGAAAACGTCAACTTTCTAGTTAGATTGGAATGTGCAAAAGCCTACTTTGGATAGTGATCGTAAAAAAAATGTTTCTTAGTTTTCGATATTTTTATTCTTATGTACAAAAATAAACTATAACTAGTGTTGAATATGACCCATTGATATCCATTCATGTCGGGACGTGGAGGGCGCTGACCCCGGCCTTTCTTCACTGGTACTATCAATAGAAGTACTACCTTCATACTCGTCTTTTTGAGAACTTGGCTCCTCGGATTGATACACGATAGGGGTACTTCTATCCAAACCAATTTGAGTATAAGTGAGTTCTGAATTCACTACGGGTACGTATTCTGGGCTCTGATATGCCACATCTGTATAATATCCTGGATAGGATAAGTTGGTAATGCTAGTTATGGGAGAATATACCTGATGACTAGGCGATTGATTGGGAGATGTATGTTGTGCAGCCATCTGGTGATGTGCAGGTGGACTAGAGGAGAGGGACCAACAGTTCATGGAACTTGGTGGGGTTTGAGTCTGTATGGTCGTCATTGTTGGCCAACTGGTGTAAGTGGGGCCAGTCGAATTATAGAGAGGTTGTTGTTGAACATGATCAGGTGGAGTGTATACTAAAAAAGAAAAATATAATTTAGAACAATTAACAGAAACGCAATACTATTTTCAGAATTTTTTCATCCCGAAAAATTATTTTCAAAATAAATTATTTTAACAATTATAGGCGTCTTAATTTCAAGTCTTTTTGCAGGAGAAGGTTAAGGTCCCATTTGATTATACCTCGTTTTTTTGCCTCCTAGACCGGGCTTTCCGATGGCATAAATGCTGTTGATGATAATTTATTTTCTCCTCGAAGATAATACACTAATAAAAATAATTTTAAAGTAAATATTAACAATATGCGTAGTGTAGGTTAAGAAAATTCAAATATATACATGCATAAGAGCAATAAAAACCACTAGCAGGCATGACCTCCATAAAACACTTCGTTGGAAGTTAATACATTGTGTCACTTTTAATTAGAAATATTGTTTGCATAGATCATCTTATGTATACACACATCAGTAGGAATACTGGTTATATATTGATCTTTTATATCGATTTCAAGATCGCATACTTGGAAAAATTAAATTAGTATTTTAAACAAACCACCGCAAACATATTTAGAATAAAAAATATTTTTCAAACGAATACAATTTGCCGTTTTTACAAAAAAAATCACTGAATCGACATTGTAAAAATAATTAAAAACGATGATAAAACTTACCATGTGAAGGAGGTGAAACTGATGCAGATTTTTGTCTTTGAATTGTGTAGGGTGCTGATTTTTGTCTTTTTAATGTAGGGCTAGATCTAAATTGGCAAGGAGACATTTGTGTTGATGGGGTGTACATTGCTTGATGGGGAAGAAACCACGAACCATCTTAAATAAAATACATGAGTTATTTACTACGAATACTATTTTAAGGAACATTGTTTTAAATGATTTTTGAATATAAATATGAGTTTGCTTAGACATTTTTTAATTGAATAAATTAGTAGTACCAGATACTTTTTAGATTAATTTTGGAATCATTGTAATGCATGGTGTAATTATGATTTTTCAACATGTACAATTCATGTGCTATATTCTCTTGGGATAACATTAACATTTATTAATAGTAGACACTTATAGAAAAATCCAGAATAAATGGAGTATTAATTATTTTAGAATAACCCTTTCAAAATATCCCTTACAACTTACCAACAACTTTATTTCTTCAAACGGCTAGCCCCATTTTTATTGTAAATTTTGATAGCTTGTGATTTTACAAATCTGGCAACAAAGCATATTTTTTCATCAAAATGAGGCCTAGAAAGGAATAAAACATTGTCAACAAATAAAAGATACTTTCTATGCAAAAATTAACTGTTACAAAAAGTTACTTTGTTCATTTTAATTATCTGTACAAAGACAAAAAAGATTTAAACAATTTTTTTGTTTGATATGTCAGATTTGTACACTCATAAGCTACCAAAAAATGTCAAAAAGGAGAAAGTTCTTCAAATTATGTTGATTATAATTTTCTCGTGTGGATTTAAATGTGTCTATCTCTATTTTTAAGAAAATGCCTGTCTAAATAATAGAGTCGATACAGTCTGTACATACAGTGAAGTCGTAAAATTCAGTAACTTTCATCCATATTGATGACTTTTCATTGTTTGGGTTATGGCGTCATCAGTAATTTTGTTTTAAATACTAACCCCCAATTTACATGTACAGGGTGTTTCAAAAACATATGCTATCGCTCGTGGGATGATTCCCTACTCAAAATAAGAAAAATAGTTGCTTTAGATCCTTTATTTCAAAAATACAAGGTGTTATAATTTTTATTTTTTTCACTTTTTTCAAAATATTTTTAAAACGGTTTTAATAATTTTATTGAAATTTTGGTTGTAAAATGCATCTAAAAAAGAATATATTTTTGAAAATAAAAAGATCTAATCAGGTTTATCACGGGCGCTTTAATTATTTTTAACAAACAATATGTACGCCACTTATTTTTTCACTTTTTGATAGCACAATTAATTATAGCTATTTAAATCACTAATAAAAAGCTCCTTTTTTAAGGGGTGGGTGGCTCAGTGGTAGAGTTTCTGCTTGCGGATCCAAGGGTCCCAGGTTCGAATCCCACCGTTGGCCGGGATTTTTTTATTTAATTTAATTATTTAAAATTTTTTGGATTTTGACTTAGTTTAGGAGAAACAAATTAAAAATTGTAATATATTAAGATGCAGGGTATTTGAAATTAAAGCATCCCCAGACCCATATTGTTAAGAACTGTTTGTCTTATTTTTGGGCAAATACTCACCCCACGATCTATGATACATATTTTTTGAAACACCCTGTATACTACTGATTGATGTGGCATGTTACATAACTTTAACTAAAGTCAAATTTGAGTTTCGATTTCGATATTGTTAAGAAGTAAAACATTCTCGCGAATACACATATGATGAGAGTTTTACGAGGAATTGGGCACAATAATTTTTTTAAACATTCCGCCAACTTTGAATGCAATGTATATTATTAGAAAAAATGAGAATTCACCATCGTTCTCTTTAAGAAAACTATGTAAATTGATGAAAGATATTGGTTTTGAATATGTGAAGCGTGGTTGTAAAAGTATAATGTTAAAACGAAACGACATCATTCATTGGCGGCACAGGAATTTAAGAGCCTTCAAACAATATCACCAACAAAATTGTAACGTTATATATTTAGATGGGAAAAATCAGATAGGGTTTAATCACATGTCTCAAAGCACCTACACAAAGATGTCCACGTTTCGTTATTGTTCATGCAGGATACCTGGCGCAGCGCGTGTTTTATTGGCAAAGAAAAACGATGGGGATTATCATGACGAAATGTACGCCGACTATTTTGAGCAATGGTTTGAGAAGTCGCTGATTCCTAACTTACTCAAAAATAGACGAAAGAACGTTATTGTTATGGATAACGCTTCGTATCATGCCCGAAAATTTTGTCTTCCAGCTACCTTATGAAAGAAATCCGAAATAAAAAATTGGCTGTTTGAGAAAAACATTTTCTTTGATGACTCCTATTTGAAATTTGAGCTGCTAGAAGTTGCGAACGCATACAGAGAGCACTACGATAAATATAAGATTGAGGGAATAGTTGCAAAATACGGGGTGAATGTTTTACGCTCACCACCGTATCATTGCGAGCTTAACCCGATCGAGATTTCAAGTACCAACTTTTGCTGTCTGCTGTTGCATCTGGACGGAATATTTACATTTACCAAGCTTTAAATTTGACATATTCTATGCGATAGGGAATTTTGTTAAAATAAAATAAATAATCCTTTTTTAGATTATGTTTGTAAATACCCTTAGGGCACAAACACAATAATTTGTTTTGAACTTGTATTAATACTTTGATGCAAGACTATAGCAAGTATAAACAACTTAATTTTGAGAAACCATGGATAGAAGTATACCACTCGTATTTGGACGTTGATCGAGACGTTTTTACTTTCAAGACAAACATTTTGATCTTTAGTATTTTATTTATAACGTAAAGCTAAAGCATAGAGTAAAAATAACGCTTAACACAACTGTATTTTAGTAAATTACGGATTCCATCAAATTATGAACAATGATGACATCATGAATATTGTTAATATTTACTGAACGAAAAAAAAGCGCAATTAACTATAATTGACAGGTCCGGTGATATTATTAAAATCAACAAAAGTTACTGAATTTTAATCCCACCTTTGCGATATTACTATTTATTTATTAAAATAAAAAACAATGTCGACCAAATAAATGATTTTAGAGGGTTAGTAGTTAGAGGCCGGAACTTGTAATGTTGTAATCGTAAGAATATAGATTGGAATTATAACAATTTTTTATAATAGAGTTAATCAAATTTATCAATATACCGATTGAACAATAATTATAAATCCACACATATAAAACATAATTGTTGATTCTTTAATATTCTATTTAAATAGTTGTTAATATATGATAAATACGTATCAGCAAGTACTGTATAGAAAAAACCCATGCATTATCTGATATAAAATTAATTGTAGGTATTTTGTTAAATTAACAAAACTAGATACGAATTGGCAGCTGAAAATCGAATTGAAAAAAAAAATTGAAGAAATAAAACAAATATTACATTGATGATACTGCGTCTGCTGTTGTCCATAAGTAGAAAATTCTCTTTGACTATACAGGTTGTCTGGCCGCTCTTTAGCGTCTAGGAATGCTTTAGCGAACGGGTTGTATTTGATTTTCAACGAAGTTACTTCTTCATTTTGGTAAGCAGTTACGGCTATAAATTGGGTTTCGGGAAAAGGAAATGTCAGTACACGCCTGGGTTCAGTTCCCACTCGTACTAGATGCACTCTGGGTTCGTATTTGTGGAGGGAATTCAACATTATTTGTCCATTACCATTTGATTTGTTCGTAAGCTTCACCTAAAAAAGTAGATAATTTAATTTACATTAAAGGATTAAATTTGTTTATTTGTTGTAATTTATATATGTGACATATCCTTGAGATGAAATTAATGTTAATTGAGAATATGATTTGCGAAAAAACATGCAGCAAATCAATTTTTATTATTTTGTTGTGTTTATGGATGTAGTTAGAGATCGAAAACAATTTTGTTTGAAATTGAATTTTCACCATATTCCAAAAAAATAAGAGAAATTAAAAAGTTTTTCAAAATAAAATGGAAAATTCATATCAACAGTTTGGAATAGCAACCTAAAAATGGGAAAACAGCAATTTGAAGGTAAATTGTTTATGTTTTATCCATTCTAAATATAAATCTTATTGAATTAATATTTTATAAGCATTGTCTAGATAGGTGAACATTCTCTTCTTCGCCAGGTGGCAGTCTTCCAAAAAGATCATGGGTAAGTTTCATTTTTCTTCCAGCAATCATCATACATGGAGTATAACCGGTCGATTCATGTTTAGAACTCCTATAGGCTAGCACAGGAATTAGAGAGTTCTTTTGATTTTCAAAGATCAACATCGAAAGATATTAGCAAATAGTTCCATGATGTATTTCTGCCAGTCCGTGGGACTGTGGCTGGAGAGGCGTATTGTGTGTAATTCTATGTCTCACAATGATGCTTCTTGATTAAGAAGTATTGTTATAATAACCATCAAGTATTTGTTTCCACTATCTGTTAAAAGAAGTGGGCCGAAAATAACTTTGGCAAGTCGTTCGAAGGGCTCGCTGGAAAGGTACTGTGCCATTTTACCTCGGATTCCTATTTTAGGTCCTTTTCTGCCATTGCACAGGCCATATAAAAAAAAATGTAAGTTTGGCTCTACAAGGCAAAAACAGTTTGGAATTATCGACAATAGTTGCCATTTTATTATTAGAGTTCCGTACTCGAAGGGTAACCAACGAGACCCTATTACAAAGCCTCCGCTGTCCGTATGTGTCAGGGAATGATCCGTAATAGGTAGACAGTTGATATTTTTACAGAATGTGTATTTCTGTTGCCGCTATAACAACAAAATAAAAATAAATTAAAAATTACTAGAAACGTTATTTTTTGGCATTTTTTGGTCAATCTTAATAAAGTATTTAAAAAGTACCTTCATAGGGAACCCTTTATGCGCGAGTCCGACTAACACTTGGCCGGTTTTGTAATATTATTCATTTTAATAACAATATTTCTAAATAAAAGTTTAACAAGTAAACGTGTAAACATCAAGGAGGTTGTTCTGACGACAATGACACGCCTCCGCACGGTTGGAATAGAACCTGATGTAGGATCTGGTGAGGCCAGACGTTGCTTTTGGCAGGAGGCGCTCGATTCGCTCCCACTGCTTCAAGCGGGATATATCTTCCATGAGCTAGCCTTATAAAGTTATAATAGAACAAATAGAAGAGCCAGAAGTGCTCATCTATACAGATAGCAGACAAGCACTACTCACCCTGAACAGACCACGAATTTACTCAAGGTTAGTACTAGAATGTCACGAAGCTTTGGCCGAAGTATCCATCAACAATGTGGCCACCTTAAGATGGATCAAAGGTCACGCCACATCGAAAGGTAAACGTCCTGCTGATTCACTAGCCAAGAAAGCAGCCAACCAAATACTTTTTGGACCTGGCCCTTCTATTGGCCTGACAAAATTAGTAGTGACAGACCTAATTAAAGAATATTCCCTTGTGAAATTCAAGGAAAGATGGGATGAAACAAGAAACTGCAGAGTTGCCAGGGAGCTCCCAAGTAATCCTGGCAACACTGCAGCAAACTAATACTTGACTATGACTAGACAGAATCTGCGCCTAGTCACAGGCATTCTGACTGGTCATTGCTAAGTATGGAAGCATCTTCATATCATGGGGCTGTCAGAATCCGCACTCTGAAGAGGGTACGAACAAGAAGATGAGACCATCGATTGCTTATTAAAAGATTTTTGTTGGGCGAGTATCGGCTAACACCAACCGATATAAGAGAAGCACCTCTTGGCGACGTTGTCAACTACATTAAATCTGTAGGCTGGTTCAAGAGCTAGGAGGTGCCTATCACCTTAGGAGGATGCACAATAGGCCTAATGAAGCCTAAGTGCCGTGGAGGTAACCCACCCTTCACACGTTACAGATACAGAGAAGTAAACGTGTAACATTGGTGACAATTATCGAGATAGAATAAAGTAGAGACGACATGAACACTATTTTTCGATCTGACAGAACTACGCACTTTAAGTGACGGAAAAGTGTAATGAAAATGGCGGTTTGAGTCGTACTTTGATTTATTTAAGGCACATACTTTGATTTTCTTTTACTATACGGAGAATGGTCGCACTGCGCAGCTTTCTGAGTGCTTTTTAAAAGGAGATAGAAAACTCCGCCATTTTGAACCCTTATTACGTGTTGCCTACATCTTGGCGCAATATTTTTAATAGGTGCGTTTTAATCATCCGCTTCTGCTTCTGAATTGTCGGTTTTCTTGTTTTAATCTGACAGGTTAAAACGACTAAACCGACAATTCCGGAAGCAGAAGCGGATGATTAAAACGCACCTGATATTTTGCTTGCTGCTGTCAGTGTCAATGAATATTATTTTTGAAGTCACAGTTTATTGCTAAAGAATCAGTTAGCTCACTCGGATAAGTTGAAAGTTCCAAAATAACATCCACTCCAGGGATACAAATTCAGGATACGCAGAAGACTGCTGTTTTATTATAGGCGGTTGTTGCACAGTGTATAAACTGAAACATTGAGATCAAAAGTACCGACGCAGAGTGAGCGATCTGATTTTTTAGCTGTAAATTGTGTCACAGGGATCAAAATGGCCGCGCCCTATGTTGGGCGTGTCGGATCTCTCTCTTGCCTCGTATAGTAATCAAAGTATGTGATTTAAGGTCAATAATTTTATATTTGAAGATTAAGCAATGATAATGATTTTATATCATTTAAATAAAGCTATTTCAAAAAAATGGCATTTATCGTCATCAAAACTGTGACTAGCTAGCTCCACTATCTCGAGTTCGACATTGACGTAAAAGTGTATGCTCCATAGACGTACCAGGATACATACTTGAATGGTATACATATAAATGTTTAAGTTGATTGCTCAAATATACTGGAACGTGTGTTTGGTAATATTTGCCAAAGTACGTTAATTGTAGAAGCGACATGAGAAATTCTATATTTTTACTTGTGCATGTCGGACTTGCACAAGTGTGTGTATGTGAAAGACTGGTACAAGCTTGAAACAGTTGAGATTTGATCATCCCTAGAGTAGTGCGACTTACGATTTTGCTGTTATGACGAGTCACTTGGAACAAGGGACATCGAGAATGTTTCGAAGAATTTATTTCTATTTACGAATATGGCGCATTTATAAGCAAAAAGTAACAATAAAGGGGAAAGGGGGAAGCGGCATTAAAAAAAATAATAGAAAAATTGAGGGAACTAGACCAAAAAGCAGATCGTAATACAGCGGTTAAAAAAATTAACGCCTTCCGAACGAATCACAATAAGAAAAAAAAGGCAACAGTGGCCAACACGTTGTCGTCCGACAAAATAACATGGTTTAACTTTAAACTGGCGCAATGTGCAAGCATACTTGTACGTGTGTTAGTTGTCGACCCATATTCAAGCATACTTGTGCAATCAACTTGTACATGTGTACCGTTCAAGTATACTGGTACCTCTATGGGGGCCTTAAGATGCGAATACTTTAGCATCTTCATAGCATCTCATTTTTATTATATCTCAATGGTGACAGTTTTACACCTTTTGACATATTATTGAAAAGTCACAAAAATAATGGACTTCCAAATATCTACAAATCTTTATAAGAAATATGATTTTATTATGTCATCACTGTTAATACTTATATTTTGTACAACTATGGACAAAACAATTTGGAGAGTATTCAAAGATGCTTCGCAATGGTACCGAGAAAACAAAGAACTGAAACGAGAACGAGAAACTCTGCTTATAATGCACAAAGATGCTGTAGGTGAGGGTGATGGAGAATCCAATTGCGAAACTGAAATAGAAAATTTGAATAAAACTATTAAACAACTCAGCACAAAAGTTGCAGAATTACAAACAGAAGTTAATTCATTAAAGGAAATGGAATTTCACACATCGAAAGAAAATATTAAGCTAGCAGAAGATTTAGAGGCTGAAAGAGATAAAAATTGTGAGCTGGACTCACAATTATCAGAATTAAAAAAGGAACAAGATCAAACCCTACGTATTTTGGAAATGATGAAAAAAGAAATACAAGACCTACAATCTTTAGAGGAAGAACATAAAACAAACCTAGTCAATTTAAAGAATGAGTCTGATGCTCAGAAAAGGGAACAAAATGCTTTAAAACATCAAAATGCCTTGGTCGTGAATGGAAATGAAGACGGTGGAAACTATATCATGTTGATTCAAGAAATTGAAGATTTAAAAAAGACCCTTGAAGATGAAAGAAATAAATACGAAGAAGAATTAAGCATCCTTCAGGACCGGATAGAAGAACAAGCCAACAATGTACAAATAAAGGTCTTAGAAGAGAGGCTCAAGCTAGTCGAATCTGAGTTCCAAGCAGCTTATGAACGTGTCAGTAGAGCGGAGGATAGGTTAAAAGCGCCTTCCATTCCTCCACCACCGCCGCTGCCTCCAATGCTTCCACCTACTCCTTGTATAAGAAGAAGTAAAAATAGAGTCGCCTTATCCGATTTGGCTAAGTGCATAGGAGTCGAGGAAAACATATCTTCCGATAAAAATGGAACTCCTGGAGTTAACGAAGACATTATAAACGCTATAAAATCTGGTCAGTTTACCTTAAGAAAAGCTAAAAAAGACTCAGAAAAGCAAGAAGGTAAAGAACAACCTAAAGCAGTCTCTGAACTACTTAATATTCTCGGTAGTCTCAGAAGGGCGCCTAAAAAACGACAAAGTCAATTTTTTGGTGATGTACAATTGTAGCACAACATTATTTTTAGTATTTAACCAATATTGTTAACTTTTAATATTTTATTCGATATTGTATATGTTTTAATCATAAAGTTTATATATTAATTTTTTTATTAATAAAAAAAAATCATATATAACGACTATCAAGTATTCGTTTCCACTATCTGTTAAGAGAAACGGGCCGATAATATCAATGGCAAGTCGTTTGAAGAGCTCACCGGAAGGTACTTCGGCTTCTTGTCTTAGGACGTTTTCTGTCATCGCACAGATCTAATTTCATGCACAAAATCTGCTACGTCGACGATTGACCCAACAAAATATTTCTGAACTCGTGACATTAGTACCAAACTGTCACCCTAAATGACAATTTTTTCTAACACACTTTTGACTTGTGGTTTTGGCATAGGGTTGCCAGATTTCTTCGCCCTAATAAGAAAAATGCCTATCTCCGTTTTGGAAAATTTTACAGGAGAGAAGAAAAACGTTAGTTTTTAACAAATACATTATTTCATTAGTACTTGTTCTTCTTCACATCAAACATATATAACTTTGAATGTTACACAAAAAAAAACATTCCTACGAGTTACGTTTTTTCCTCACCAGTCCAAAGACTTTTTTCTCTTGCTGGAATTGTTATTGCGCCACGTAGGCATGCTTTGAACGACTATAATTTTGAAAAACTAGTCGTTCTTAAAGCAAATGGCAATTATTTAGACTCAAGATCCAAATAGATTTCTTAGTAGTAGTACTGATGTATTTTATAAGTTTTTGTGGTACTCTGTTCTTTTTTTATTTTATTAATAAAGGAATATTTATTTTACCTTGTACTACTATTTTATTTTTAAATTATACGTAAATATGAACTGTTTATTAATAAATACTTTATTACTAATGTCTAATATTACTAATCCCGTTTAGCAATGATATTTTAATTTAAATTGAGCAGACTTAGGCCTTTAAGCTTCACACCAGCATAGATTCTCTATTATAAGTAAACACAAATGTACTTAAGTGTTTTGTAAGTACTTATTTAAACCTAAATATACTTAAGTACATCTGCATATGTACTTAAGTAAACAATGTATTTATCCTACATTGTACTGAAGTATATTTCAGAAGTTAACTACTCTATAAAGTACATAAGTACGTTTTTATGTGCTTAAGGCTAATGTACTTAAATTTTAGAAATTAATTACTAGGTACTTAAATACCAAATAGATGTAATTGAACTTGTACTGGTACTTACTCGCAATTTTCAAAAGTACTTGTACTTGAGACTTAAGTACATTTTACGGGTACTTACAGCAGCTCTGTAGCGTTGAGCGAACAAGCAAGTCAAAAAGCATGGAAAATACGCCTTAAGCGTGACGTCTGGCAACCCTATCTTGGCAGTACCAATTGGTGAACTATATGTACTCCATCGAGCTCTCCCCCTTTCGATGAAATATATTATGGCGAAGATACAGAGAATCCCACTTCAATACCCTCTTACAATTCAAATATATTTGGTTAACTCCTGCCAAGTAGGTCTAACTCTATTCTTGGGTGATTCTCGAAAAACCTTCAAGTCATTGCCTTTCTTTTGGCTGTTCCAAAGGTTTTCATGGGAAGGCCTATCTTTGCCACCTACTAACTTCTTTAAGCGGTGTCTCCTTTTCTTTTACAGTACCGGCATTTTCGTTCTAAATAGGGTGCCTATAGTTCGGGACACACTGAGAATACACTGGCCTGGCATAGGCCACGGTTCGTAGACAAAACGGTGACCTCATCCGGTACCTAGGGACCAAGGGGCGACGTTTTAGAATGAAAAATAGAAGACAGAAAATATTCTGCTGCGGTTCGTACAGTAAAAATTTTTATATTTTAATAATTAGTGGTGTTAATATTTTTAATTATGAACTATGTTCTAGTGTTAGAGTTTTTATAATATCGTTAGTTTAATTTTTTCAAAGATAAGCTACAAAATGGCTAGGAATGATTTCCATAAAATTTCGAATGAATTACTTTTTATTTGAATTATAAAGAGAAATATTATTATATCAATGCCACCAAGGTTGAAGACCTACAAATGCGATTAATGCATAGCACTCTGAGATCTATATGGGTGGACGCCCTCATATTTTTGTTTTCCGCCATAATTGTGAGGTTAGAGGGCAAGATTGGTAATAGACCTTTAGTTCTGTGCACATGCGTTAGTATCAGCCATCTTTTTCGTACTGTTTTTTGTAAACAAGCATGTTAAAATGCCCACGTGAATAAAATTTTAATCAATAAATATTAATTTAAAAAAGGAAGCAAACAATAAAGTAATGTGTATTTTTTTTTTAATTTGTGTCATCGGCGTCGACTACTACGGCCATTAGCCTAGTAATGTGTATTATTTGAAAAATCATAATTATGTTATCTATACGAAAAGAAACAACGAAACGATATTGTTATGGAGTATGTAATAGTGACACCGGTATACATCATTCAAAGCCAAAACATATTATTTTATAAATTTTCCAAAGCCTTTGCCCCTGCAATACCGTAAAAAATTATGAAATTATCAGGCAAAATATATATTAAAATGTGCATTATGGGTGAAAAAATGTCCAGCCATTTCCCTTTGTCAACATCTGGGTCGACAGGTATATTATTTTTGAGTGCATTTTTTATCCTAAAAAATTAATTTATTTTTAATGTATTATCTAGTATTGCACAATATTTTTTTTAATATCAAATACTACTTCGGTATACACAGTAATATGATTAAAAATGTCATGTTGATCCTCAAAATATTAAATAATTTATTTTATTAATTATGCTTGTGATTAACTTTTATGTTAATAAAGTGTTTTTACAAGTACTAATAGTTAGTTGAAATAGAGTTATAATTATTATTTGTTTTCAATAATTTTTTTAGACAGTAAACAAACAGTGATACCTAGCCTCTTAATCAGCACACTTTTTTTTCCTTGTTGCGAACGTTCATGGCATTTCAACCACCTTTTCAATTGCTCACAACTATGTGCTTTCACAGAGTTATAAGCAAGTGAAGCACCATTAAAGATTTTTTCTACCGATTAATTTGTCTGTAGAGATATTGCTTTACCAGCCATTGTTGACCAAAACAGTACAAAACATTTGAGCTACCGCTATTTCAATAAGGTGGTTGCGCTTGCGCTCATCTTATGATGAAAAGGTCTATTTGTGGGATATAGTTAGGGTATTATTTTTTTTTTACCAAAATAGAAACCTAGCCATGAGAACGCGTGTGTAGTCGCAGGGAGAGTATTGCTTTGTTGGCTTTGATCGTCAACCGTTTTTTTATTCATCTGAAAACCCTTTCAATCGCCATTCCATCGAATTCTTCAGAAACGTCAAGTTGGATGTTATCGATGAATTATGTTGACTTTAAATACTTGCCCAAATTATTAGAACCTTCATTCAACAAATGTCTCAAATATCTTTTATAACTTACTTCTTGGTTCATCTTGGCCGCAATTTCTCATTTTTTCGCACTATAGAGCTATAAATTATCAGGTATTTCGTACTTTTCTTTCCTAATATCTAAATGTTCGAAAGCCTAGCTTTTTACGCCTACCTTTTCAAAGTCCAATAGCAATTGGGAAAATTAAAATATGGATTGATCCACAAAAAATGTTCCTTAAGTAGGCATTGGAAAACATTCATCCTATGTCTGAGCCTACAATTCTTTTTCTTTTTAAATGTCGGTCTGGATTTAATTCTGAGCCATGTGCACCCTTTGTTGGTCATGGTCCACTTTAGAAATATTTTTTGTGGATCACTCTTTATTAAGGTTAAATTAATTTCTAGAAATTACTAACCTTAGCAAACGAAATTGGCTCTTTCATCCAATGTGCTCCAAAATTTGGCGATTCTGGATGTATATAAATTGGATTAGAGGGAGGAACTTCTGCTTTTCCACCCGGTACCCATTCACCATTTACATATTTCCACCTGTGGGGATCGATTTGAACAAACTCTAATAGTACTGTGTACATGGCTTTTGGATCCAAACCTGCTGCGGTTACTTTTATCACAGGAAACATTCGTCTAAAAATTTGATATCTACATAAAAATTACATGACTTGTGGTCTATCATACATGCTTAAAAACATCGATAATATTTATTATGTTAAAAACTGGTTATAAATAAATTTTAAGAATCGTGTAAAAGTCTTTAGGAAGTCCCAAAATTTATTTTACGATATTAATAAAATCCTCGTTAAAATGGATTTCGAAAAATAAATCCACTTGCTCAGGAAATTAAATAAAGCTGTATAGGAGTTGGGAAGATAAATATTCCAGTGGGCAAGAAAATGTAGGTAGGTAATTTCTACTGAACTGAGTTTTTGGCGTCGCTCATAATTAATAAGAAATTTGATTTCTAAAGGTGTTTGTGAACTAAATAAACACTGTTAAATAATAATTGCTGCTTTGTTGTTTATCTATCAGGCGAATTTGTGTTGACTAAAAGTTTAATAATGACGTAGATATTCGCGAATAAATGCTGCAAGCAATAGTAACCAGACTATTGTCAAATACCAAAGAAAGGTCAGAAAATCGGTTTTGATCCGAAACTGAAAATAGGCAATTTTTGTAAATGTGGAAATATAATCCCCAATTCTCCCTAAGAAATTAAAGAAATGTATCCCCACATACACAAAGTGAAAATAAACCAAAGAAAAATTGAAAAAGCTGAGAAATAAGGAAAAGAAAAAATGAGTGCATCGAACTGAGATCGAACTGGAAACTCCAAGTTGAGCCTCTACTAATTGGACCACCGAATCACTTATTACGACAGTCGAATTTGTAGATTTGAAGTCATCAGATTGAGATTCCACCCGGCATACACACATTCTCTTACCCCCTACTATAGTGTATTTGAAAACGAAAGAGCCAAATTTGTATAACCCAGGAGATAAACCCCAATATAACATCATAAATCAGTGACGGAAAATTTCTAAAATAAAATGATTAGCATTATTTGTTCCAAAATACAAACTTTGGTTTTCTTCCTAAAATTTTTAAAATTACCAACTTATTTCAATTCTTCTCTTAAA